ATTTTGAGCCCATTTTGTTGTTTGTCAGGACACTTTGAATTCTAATGCTATCCTCCTGTTTAGTTGTAGCCCTCCCAGTTTAATGTCATCTCAAAGCTAGCAAACATGTTTTCAGTCACCTAGATCACCATGATTAATTTAGTAGTATAGTAGGAATTGTAAGCATCATGGGGGGAAGAGGTGACAGGAATTCTTTAGATTCAATGTATTTGATTAAATGAAATGAAATTAATTTTGAAAAACTATTTACAAGAAGAGAAAGCTCTGCTTAGGTCTCTTTTGCTCTTTCAATTAAAATACTATTTTATTTTAGACTGTATAATTAATGATGTTGTTTAATTATTTAAGATTAAGGGTCTTAGAGTACTATTGACATATTTTGCAAACTACAGTAAGTAGCACAGTAACCTACACTTTGGTCAAAGTTGCTTGCCATTATTTTAATTTTGGGACAGATTTTATTTAAAGTTTAATTTATTGTTTCAGCAAAGAAATGGAAATATGCCAATGTAATTTGCTCCTATCACAAAGTTGTAAGGCGTTGTCAAAGACTGAGCAAGCTATTATACAGAAAAGACTAGATGAGCTTGATGACTGGTGTTAGTGGAGCAAGATGAAATTCAGAACTATAAATGAAAAGTCATGCAATTAGAGACAATCTAATATTGTACAGGGACACACAGCTGGAGAGTAAAACGATCACAGAACCACAGAGAATGATGGCCAGTTGCCAGTTGTGCATTTTAATGCTTTGCTTTGCCATTGAACAAAGACAGTTTTTTACACATTTCTGAGGAAAAACGGATAATCTATTTTCCTTCTAATTTTATTAATCAGGATTGTCTGTAAATGAAGGCTCTTAGGATGTCACGAAAAGATTTGGAGGTTTCTCTTGGCTCTGTCCTATCAAAAATCATCCACCCTCATCTAGAGTTTCTTTACATGTGACACTGAACGCTTCTTCATCTCTACCCTCTCTGTGGGCCTTGTGTTTTACCAGATGAGTAAATGACAAGGTCCATCTCAAGCTTTCACACATGCCACAGTAGAGGGAAGATGGATACTGTCAGTGATAAAATTGTTCATAAGATGTACCCATGGCTGTAGGTGGGAAGCTAGACAGCAGTTGGAATGACTTATTACCAGAATTGCTATTCTTATTTCATGTTTATGTTTTAGGTAAAGTTTTTACCATGTTCACACAATAGTTCTTAAACATAGGCTATGTTGAATTGGGCTTTCATTGATATTTGCTATCTAATTTAATAATTCTCCCTTTCTATAATAAATTTATCTGTTACATTTACTATAGCTATGTGTAGTAAGGATTTTTTTTATTATTATTTTAAGGATTGTTACAAGCTTCTCTACATGTATTGCTGTTGTCTCATCTTTAGAAGTATATATATTTTTTCTTTTTAGACTGCAAAGCTGATATTGCATTTCCTGTGTAGTCTGCCTCTCCAAAATACTTGTTCATTTTTCTTACAGCCTAGTAAGTCTGTAGACCCAAGTCTCTAGAGCAATAGGATACAATGTCCCTTGGCTATTTCCTTTTTGTCTTCTGTTTTTGTTGTCCTTCCTCACACTGTGCTTCTAGATTGTATAGCACTGGTGGAAATCAAAATGAAATCTATGGTAATTTCAGACCCTTACAATAAGAAACAAATAATCAGATACTTTCACTTAATAAACTATTAATGGAAGAATGAGGCACCTTTTCCATATTGTGTGAATTAGCCCAACTTTTCAGGTACTTGGTTTACTGTAACTTTCATATATAAGCAGTTGCCTACCCATACAAATAAATTATCAAAATGCTTTTGTAGTTAGAAGCTCCTCTACTCCTCCTGTGGATCTGTGCTGTCTCACAATCATATTTTAAGACTTTAAAAAAGCCCCAAATAAACTGTAGTCCTAATTAGAGCCAGCCAGGAGTTTTCATCCAAAGCTTCTTAAGCAAAAAAATTGGTTACATGGAATTATTTGTAAACTTCTTGTTGATTTCTTTGAATCATCTGTGAAAACAGAAAACCGTATCAAATGAAGCACTTTTCTAAAAAGGCTTTTAATATTATTTTTAAAAACTGTGTAATATTTAAATGAATAAAACCCAAATCAATACTTTTGATGTGTTTGAATTATAGTTCTTATTTGGCACATTTTGTCTTAGTTGCTGGAAATTTCAAAAACCTTATTTTGACCAAGTCAAACTTCATTCTCTCACCACAATTACAAAAGGAAAAAATTATCAATATTTTTCCCTCTCTTAGCTGTCTTTTTCAAGGCCACAGTGACATTTCTTCAGCTACTCTATTAATTCCTTCTACAATGTCTCTCACTTTAGATTGACCTTTTGCTTTTTATTACTTTCCACACCTTTTTTTTTTTTTCTGTGCTCTTCGTGGCTGAAGGAAAGGAGGCGGCAGAGAGTAAATGGCTGCCAGAAGATGTGAACATACAGATACAGCAATGTATCTTGCTTGCAAAGTTTGGAAGAGATTTGGGTATGTGTGAAAGAAGGAGAGAAGAGCGAGAAGGTTGATGGTGAGGCAGGAGAGAGATAAAAAAGTTTTATTGGTGCAGCAGGAGGAGAAAGTACAAAAATTGGTAAGCATGGAATATACAGAGCAAGCAGAAGAGTGGAAAGAAGTAGAACGGTGTTTTGGTAGAGTGGGGCCCAAAGGGGGTGTTCTACTGATTTGCCACAGAGAGTGGTTTACAGTGCTCCCAACCACCTGCTGCAGCAGGGAGCAAGAATAGATGACTTCTGTGCAGGAACTCGCTGCTGCAGTGAACTCTCAGAAGTGCCCTCCTTCCCTCCCATTGGTGGCCGATCCGCTTTTAGAAAGAATGCACACATATTGTATGCATTTATTTTAGAATATTTACACAACTTATAGTTTGAAAGAATCCAGACTGCTGTTAATACAGTTTCAGCAATTGTTTAGGTTATATACCTTGCCTGTGTAACCTCCATTTTTTGATTTCTCTTACTTTGCTATCCCTCCTACTTTCTTTCTTTCTCACCTTCACAGTTTTAACAGCTATGGTCACATCAGCAGTAGCTGCTATGTATTCAAAAGAATTTTTGAGAATCTTGAGACTTGACTGGTTATATAAAATCATATATTTTAGTCCAAGAGTCTCAGTTTAGGAAAGTGTTTAAGCATGCAAAAATTCTTTACCATTTCTGAGAAGAGTTTATGAGTATATATCAGTTCCATCTACTGGCAATAAGAGTTACAGCATTTAGTAGGCTCACACAGGAAATGCCAGACTTTACTTCAATATCCAGGATCCTTCAGCAGGAAGTTAGGTGTGGTCTGTAAAAGGAGAATTAAAAAAAAAAAAAAAAAAAAAAAAAAAAAAAAAAAAAAAAAAAAAAAAAAAAAAAAAAAAAAAAAAAAAAAAAAAAAAGGCTTGATGGAATTTTAACTGCAGTCTTCCCTGGTGCCATTCCAAACCTACATAACTGCAAGATTCTTCACTGGTAATGAATTTTTAATTGTTTCCTGCAGTATTAAAACAGAATTATGGAATTATGTTTTTATTTTATTTTTTTTTCCTTCTGTAATTAGAAATAAAATCTAACAGGATTCTGCTGTAGGGCCATTTTCATTTTCCTAATGAACCTTCCTGCTGCTGGTAGTCAGTGCAGCTTCCAGCAGCAGTTTGGTACAGACCGTCCATGACAGAATGCACCAGGTGCATTTGCCTGCAGTGGAAGAGCATGCTCACAGGGAGACCTGCAGGAGTTGGGATGTGTGTAGATTGTGTAGGTGTTAGTGGCTGTGTGCATATGGTTGAAAAGGAGGAGAAAGCATCATGTTGCAGCTTATTTAACAGCCTTCAGAAATATTAATTTGTTGCAACTGTGCCAGAGTATGTGTGCTAAGCGAGACAGTAAAATAGGATCTGGCTGATTGTATTAAAACTTTTCTATCATTTTAATCTGAATATTGTTTCTGCATATATTGTCTTACTCAGAATATTTTATTTTATTGTATTTGCTATCTTTTTAATGTGCTTACTCAGAAGGATGCTTATGAAAAATTCTTGTAGGCTACAGCAGAAATCCTGTTTGCAATTTCAGATCAAAGTATTTGCATTGGGAATATTTTCCACTGTTCTTTTTAACTGAACTGCCTGAGACATTAAGAAGAGATGATCCTGCTCTTGCTGGTGAAATTTGTGAAATATATATACAATTGATATGATATCAAACATAAAATATCTAAGTGCAGGATGTAATGATTAAAAATCTGTTTTGTTTAATTCAGCAAGTCTTCCAGTGTACAGTGTGTTGCCAGGCAGGGGATCTGAATACAGGTGCTAATGCCTGAACCCTGTTTCCTGAGCTGGCAGTTCGGCAAAGGCAGCATTTTTGTACTCAAAGAGAAGTATTGCTTTCAACTGATCCTTCTGGCCTTACGTGGCAATAGTGGATTCTAAGAGTCATTTCTGGTCCATATAGCTAGAGGAAGGACTGGTCCGAGATGCAGCTTTCAGGGTAATAAAGAGCTACATTGTCTGGAGTCTCACTCAAGACTGAACCAAATACTTCAGAACTGTTGATTCCTCACACTGAATGTAGTGGAAAATATCTCCTACTTTATTCATGGAAATGGATAACATTACCCTTGGTAAAGGCAAAAGATGTTATTGTATGTGACTTTTTTTATCAGCTTCTAGAATTGACAATCTATTGGTGCAAGCACTAAGTGAATTTTAACTTAAATGCTTTAAGAATTGATACCTCTGAGACAACTCTAAGAGGCAAGTTGCCAAGAAAAATTGTTTGTCTTGAAATAAGAACAAATTTAAAAATTCATTTCATGGCAGCCTCTTTTGGATGATAATACTGAGTTTAACAAGATGTCCCTCACAAAATTCTGAATTCTGGAAATATATGTATTCTGAAAATATAAAATACTTTATATTGTTGGTAGCTGTATTGTTCTAAATTTTTTCTGCTTTTTTTTTTTTTTTTTTTTTAGCACATTTTTTATGAGAGAAGCTAAACAGTAATTAAGAGGTGCAGGATGAAAAGATGGCACAATCAGTGCTGGTACCACCAGGACCCGACAGCTTCCGCTACTTCACAAGAGAGTCACTTGCAGCTATTGAACAGCGTATCAATGAAGAGAAAGCTCAGAAATCCAAACAAGAGCGCAAAGATGATGATGACGAAGATGGCCCGAAGCCAAACAGTGACTTGGAGGCAGGAAAGACACTGCCATTTATTTATGGTGACATACCTCCAGGAATGGTGTCCGAGCCCTTGGAAGACCTGGACCCATATTATATCAATAAAAAAGTGAGTGTGTTGTATTTCCATCAGACTTTAAGAAAAATAAATAACAACCCTTCAAAGACATAGTATTTCTATTATTTTTGACCTAGAGCTTTCATATAATAATTCCCCCAACAGCTGATGTGATTTGCAGAAATCTCCACTCTAAGAACAGAAATTAGTAATGCTTATGGGACCTTATAGATAAGTAAAGATGCACTTAATTTTTTTAAATAAACCTGGCATTCTATTAAAACCTGTAACTTTCAAAGTTTTACACACAGGAGAATTGAAGTAGCAGCACAGGGTTTATCTTTAGAATAATTACTAATTGCTGTGTTATAGTTGTGAAAGTTGCAGGTCTTCAATATGAAATCCTTTTCAAAGGCAGCTACGCATCCTCTTACTAGATTTCTTCACTGTTGTGAAAAGTTTAGGTTGCATTCTCTTTTCACTGGGAAGGAAAGGGAAGTATGTAAGGATAATTTCTCAGGATATGATGATCATCCTGATCCATATTTACTCTATAGTGGCATCATTTATCCAGCTTAGTCTGGGTGAAAAAATTTTCTTATCCAGTTCTATTTTGTTCCATGATTGTTTTCAAAGATGAGGTGTTTAAAAGAGGGACATAAATAAAGCGGAGGTAGCAATTGCACTTGGAGTGTTGACAGAATGTTACATAATTAAAAAAAATATTTTTATGGAGATGTTACTTAAAAAAAAATCCACATATTTGCTTTGATTTAAAGTAACAACAACTGCTGTGGCCAGCACAAAAGTGTTGAACTTTAGACTAGTGTCCAGATGGCCTTGAATTTCCTCCAGATTTTCAGTCCCTTTGATTTTGGCATCATATGTATTTCAGTCTCATTATTCTACTAAAAAAGAAGAATTTTTTTTTCCTGTTTTCATAATTTTTTTCTCCTGCTTTCTTTTCTTTCCTGAGGAAACTAGCTAGCTAACCAAAACAAGTGAATTAAAAAACAAAACCCATGAAAGTGAAGAAACTGGATTCAAAGAAAAATGAAGAAAAACTCCAAGAATTGTTATGATTCAAACTCAGACTAAGAGAAAAAATGCAAATGAAGATATTTCCTGCAGGAATTAGGGGTATGCCTCATCAGTAATATGTTGAAACAATAGCAATATAGGCATACCATGAATAACTAAGCAGAACAGCTCAATAAAAATCAGTTGTGCCTTAAGTGTTCATTACAGAATTTCTAAAACTGAATTCATGTACAGAGAATCATTACTTAAATTTGAAAACAGGTTTTTCAACTAATTACGATGTTTTGCTTCCTTTACTCAAGTGATTTACCCTGTTGAAGTCTGGAAGGCAAATAGGATTTGGGTCAAAGTACCAATTCCTTTCCTTAATACTTTCCACATTCTGTAGTAGTAAAAAATCTGAATTCAATGCCAGAAATCCTAAAGTTAGAGCATGTATCATCATGCTGTGGAAACTAGAAGAGTAGTTTTGCAATTAAGTGTGGATGTGAAGTAAAATCCTGCTGAATAGCTTGTTCCTGATTGAGAAATGCATAGCAGTTGTCATGATCTTTTCCAAAAGCATTGTGGTTTCCAGTAGGAAAAGCAATACTTCAAGCTGTATGTTGCAATCATATTTTCTCCTGTTATTTTTCTTAGCATTCTTTGCATATTTTTGAACATAATTTTTTGGGTCAGGCTCCATTTTAATTTTTTAGCCTAACTTGATGAGTCAGCATAACACAAATGCTACTTCATCAGAGGTTTTGTCAGAGTAAAGGGAACAAAAAACATACAAACTCTGATAACTAGAAGTCCTGTTTTCATTAACTCCAGGACTAATAGTAGGAGAGTTAAAAAAATCTTCATAGTAAAGACCATGTTACAGACTCCTGTACAATAAAACATCAAAGTACAGCTTGAGAATCACTAAGTATGGGAGAATGCAAACATGTTACATTTGGAACCACTGATTTTTATAATTTATAATTTATTATTTCACGCAGGGAAAGGCATTGTAGTTTCAGCTGCTCTATTTGCCACACCTGCTCAGAAAGAAGGGCATAATCTTGACAAATGCTGCCCTCTGATTTCAGTTGAGTTAGATCATGGCCGTTGGCAGTGCTCCAGGTCTGCATGGCTTATGTGCCCTTTGGGCTTCCTAGGACTGCCACAATGTTATCTAGATCCACTTCCTTTCAAAAAGCATGAAAGTCATCCAAGTATAGAAAGAAGAGATGATGGAAATAGACAGGACTTTCCCCAGATGTGTGGGAATCAACATAATTTTTTAAAAAAAACCTTACAGGTTTTATCCTTTGGATTTTAAAAACACGTTTATGTTTAAAAATGCTTTTTTTAAATGTTAGTAATATACATGAGTCATTGCTGAAACTGTGGAGAGACAGTGAAAATACCTGGGTACGGTGAATAGAGTGAATTCTTTATTAGGCGAAAGTAAAGTATGACAAGGAAAATAGATTTGCAGGTACAGAACTATCACAAGCAACAGTTGAAAAGGGAAGTAATACATTACTCTCAGAACACAGCAAAAATTGAATACATTAGTGTTATGTTCAAAAATTGTTATTGAACCCTCTTGGTTTCCATATTTTCATGATCACTTGAAATTTAGATCACTTTGAGTTACCTTTGTCTTAGTACTTTGATAATTTATGCTGGTTATTTGATTTAGGGATTGAAGTTGAAGTTTTAATTGCTCTCATTTTGGTTACAGTTACACACCTCAGTGTATATATTATACTGTACAAAAAGTATGCTAATTCTTCAAGAATTTCCTACATTACTTTCATACTTGTCTTTGTTTACTAGCTAGCAATATCAGGATTACTTATGATTTCTAAATAGATGCATTTAAGTGTTCATTTAATTGTATTTATAGCAATTTGGCTGGATGCTACAATGTGTGAACTAGACAAGGGGATTGGGTCAATGAAAAGAGATCATATTGGCCAAATATGATTAATGTTGAAATGAGAATGATTCAGGATTTGTAACTTGGTATCTTCTAAATGCTGTTTTTCATTCTCTTTCTCTTTTTCCAGACCTTTATAGTATTAAATAAAGGGAAGGCAATATTCCGATTCAGTGCCACCTCTGCCCTGTACATGTTAACTCCTTTCAATCCTCTTAGAAAAATAGCTATTAAGATTTTGGTACATTCATATCCTTTTCAAGTGGTTAGTCTAAAACTGTAATGAATGGGATGTTACTTAGTATTTAAATCATTCTCTGGCACATGTCCCAGGATCAATGTGATCAGTAGTGTTTTGTCCCTCTTCTCTCTACTATTTATGTCTTCTGTTCTTTTTCTCATTCTCCTTTTTCATTTCTGTTCATTGCTGGATCCTAATATAGTAATACCAGAAGCCAGACAACCAGTCATCGTCTTTTATGATTTCTGTATCTTCTTTCTTCCCCCACATAATTTTTCGTTCCCTCTTATTTTTTTCTGTAATCTTCTCATCTTTTTTTCATCTTTCCCCCTCCTCCACATTTTTCATAAACTGCAGATGTATTGCTCAGAATACTTTCAGTTCTTCCCTGACACTGTGTATTAAAATCAAATCTTTGATCCCAGGTCTGTGCTTTCATGAGTATTTAGTGAAAATATGGTTTCATTATTTCTTTTCATTTTCTGGTTCAGATAAGCTTACAGAAGGATAGATTCATAAAACAGGTTTCTTGTTTTGTTATATATGCTTAGTCTTGTATGTATCCCACCTGTCTATTTCTTGATCATTATTACATTATACACTTGTAAGCCTATTGATGTTTTAATTTCAGTCTTCAAGAAGGTAATGAGATTTCCACATTGCAGGTAGAGATTTGAAAAGCTAAATTATTATAATTACTTAACTATTATTTTGTCTTTTTCAATGTTTTAATAGCAGACTATAGTAGGCATCCCACTGGTCTGATCCCAAATACCAATATGAGCAATGAAGTCATTGACTTGAGAATGCCAGCTTACTTAATAAGGAAAAAATACAAATCTTTGCACAATTGTATTTACAGTAGTCTAACATAAGCACACTGAAGGTAGCTTTGCATTAGCATTGCATGTAGGGTTCCTAAGAATTATGTAGGTTAAATCTTGAAAGGACTTTTTTCAGTCTTGGTATATTGGAAGACTGATAATTACAGTGGTTGGTATGTGTTAGACATTGTTATCAATGGCTAGCCTACAAATTACTTCCAAAACAATGATGATACTACATAGCCTGTTGTCAATTTTCTTGCTACAGGTGCCACTACAAATAATTATTTTTCAATTATATGACACTCTTTCCCATATTCTGAAGCATTATTATATTGAGTTATGGGGAATAATATAAGATTGTGGGACTGAGGTGGTGGTGAAGAGCTAGTCACCAAAGTCAGAGTGCTAAAACAAGTTGTTTAAATTTATGGTAAGGTATATTTATAGTTATTTTTCCACTAATAAAAGTGTAGTGAGGATTTGCAACTCTAAGTGGACATTTCATCAAAAAGGATTTTGAAAGCCTATGTAAAGTACAGGGTGGTGAAACACTTGTAGCATGGGGTTTTAATGTTAAAAAATATATTTATTTCTCTTTTGCTCTGTTCATATGTGAATTACATAAAGAAAAGCTAGGTTCTCAGTAAAGGATTTTAAATATATTCGTTGAACAGAAAACCCAGAGAATTGTTGAATGTAATGCCACAGTTTTTGACAGCTCAGAAGGTAGAGGTATCATTATCACTTGAAGGATTTTTATTAGAGTAGACATGCAAAGAAAAGTTTTTGAGGGGAACCTCACAGTACTTCTCACCCCATTGTATTTGGATTTCTATTTAGGAACACCACATGAACCTGCAGCTGTTCTCAAACTCGAGCTTTGTCCCCTCTGTAGCTTTAGATATTGGTGCCATCATGTGGGCATTTCATGGTTCATCTGCATGGTTTTCATTTTGGTGGTTGTATTTTCTTTGGATCTTAGAAGAATGTCCGCAGTTCTGAGAACAAAAGCTTGTGAATTTAGAGTGGTTCTGTTCAAATATATTAAATCATTTATGACTTGGACTTGTTCTGGAGTTCTAGTCTGGAATTCCAGATTAGAATCTAATTGCAGTCTGGAATTGGACTTGTTTGTGGATTTATTTTTTTGAGAATCACATGGCCCATCCCAATGGCATTTATATTACAAAAGTCATATATAAAACAAACAGCAATAAAATACTTTTCTTGCTAAGATTTCCCCATGTTCTGTCCTACTATGTGGCAGCTACCTTTCAGTGTATTATAGTGACAAGGAAAAATGTTGATAAATGGCTAATTTTATCATAAAATATTAAAGTGAAGAAAATGTATTTTTTATTGTTTTGCATGCATGAAGCAGATCAGATTTTTCTAGATCATCTAAAAGAAATACTTTTTTTGTTGTTCCATGAAATTAGAAGCTGATACTTCAAAGGTTGACATTTTTTTTCAACAAGAAAAAAATGTTTTAGAGTTCAGGTGGTTTTTAAAATACCTTACAAATTTTCAAATTTTTAGGTATGACTGTTCTCTTGTAGCTATAAAACAGTGAATGAAATCTTTACAAGGCTTTTCCTTGGCTATTAAAAAACAGTAGAGGGATAGATAACTCCTGATAGTGAAAATCTCTAAAGCAGTGTGTTATTTGATACTCTTTTTATGAAATTTTCTGGCTTACATTCCTTAACTCTTAGCTTACATTATTCAGCATGCTTATCATGTGCACTATTTTGACCAACTGCGTATTTATGACCATGAGTAACCCTCCAGACTGGACAAAGAATGTAGAGTAAGTTAAATGGATTTTCTCTGAATGATATCCAATAATCAGAAATAAACTACTGTAAATTATATTAGGATGGCTTCCACTGGCAGCAGCTACCTTGTTGGGCCATCCTATCAACAGCTATTCTGATGCTATTTCCTTTGCTGTAGCATTAAATACAGATAATTGTGTCATGACAAGTTCTTTAATGTTCTTCCTGTTTGCAGTACTAGATGGAAAATGTAAGAAAAACTATTCTTATGATGATACAGAAAAAGTGGATTATAAATGTTTTTTACTGTGTTCAATGTCACGTCTGTGCAAGAATGCAGGGAAATGCTGTCTTTCATTTCTGTTGCAATAACCATTACAGATAAAGGAATCATCTTATGGATGGCTGTGTTGATCACAGTGCAGCTTTCTCTTACCAAAACCAATCTAACAGTGGAAAAGCTGTGTGCAAAATAAGTTATTTAAAAAATATTGAAATGGTTAGCTAATCATTGGTGCAATATGATGACTGCTTGACTAATTGGTCCAGTACGATGTCAGCTGCGAGGTGCTGATACACAATGGCAGTTCCAAAGCTGCAGACCACAGTGTGAAACTCTGTTCTTGGCTCTTCCTTTCTGCTGCTTATTCATTCCTTACTGCTTCGGCTGATCCGTACCTGATTAATCTTCAGAAATCAAAAGTGAAATCATAGAGCTATTAAGGTCAATGAAGACATTCTCATTTTGAGTTCAGTCTAAGCCTCTATGTATTCAGGATATCTAGCATGCAGTAAATATTTCTGATGAAGATTCATTGCTTGAATATTTCTTCATGTCTGTATATTGTACCATTTAGAGTTACAATGGATGTCCTCATCTGTGGAATAAAGTTCTGCAGGAAATAAATTTTTTAGTAATTGAGTGGAAGATTTTTATATTGGAAAACTGTTTTCAGATTAGCTCAGAGTAAGCTTTTTGAGCAGTTTAATTTTAATTCCTTTTCATTAAAGATATAAATTAAACTAAATTTCAGGATGACATCACTTGAACACAGAAGACTGAAATTACTCAGAATGCCAGAATTAAATATCTTTTCAATTTACATTTCAACTACATTTTTAAGTCAAAATGAGTATCTGAATTTTATTGGCATTCTTAAATAACTTTGATTGTTCTTGCACTTGTTTGATTCCTGTACTACATCTGTCTTGCTGTAGGTGAACTACTGGATATACCTACTCCATAACATGGTTAGAGAGCAATGAAGACTAATGAGAGTTGGCACTTGCCAACTCTTGGGACTAAGCAACATTTCAGCATAAAAATAACATGGAAGAAAGGAATTTTTAGCCTGAAAGTAAATTCTAAGATCCTAACATAATACATCTGAATGTTTTGTTATAACATGGACTCAGACTTGTCATAAACATGCACCAATGAAGTAACTGGGATTTTTGCATCTGTCTTATTGCAGAGAATGTAGAAATTGAATTTAAGATGTGGGTTATCAGTCTTTTAATCCTAATTTCATTCCTCATTCCTTATGGTATAAATTATGCAGATGTTAAAGTTGGTTTTAACTGCCATTATTTCTTATGCCACTTAAAGAAAATGAGAATAAAACAACTAGAGAGCATAAACTGCAAAAATAACATGATCTATAAACTCTGTCTTGCATATTTTCCTCAGATACACATTCACTGGAATTTATACCTTTGAATCACTTATTAAAATTCTTGCAAGGGGCTTCTGTTTAGAAGATTTTACGTTTCTCCGTGACCCATGGAATTGGCTAGATTTCACTGTCATTACATTTGCGTAAGTCTTCTACTTATTTTTTTTTATAAAAATTCTTCCTGGTAGCATGGGATTAGTGACTAAAAATTGCCTCATATCTTGTCAGCCAGAATATTTGGAGCCTGGACTTCCTGCAGTTTCAATATGTTTCTTCTACTCTTTTACACATTTTAGTATTTCTAGCCAAGCATGTGCTGCGGAGGCCAGCATGGTGTGCCAGCCCATTAGGATTGTGAATGCCATCACCCTGAACTGTTCATATCCTGTCTCCTTTCTGCATACCAGAATTAAAGGAATCCTTTTGACTTCCTGCTAATAGCTGACCAGATTAATTTTCAAACATCAAGTCAATGTGGTTTATTATGATAAAACTTAATTTAATTTTATGGCCAGAAGTATATTTATAACACAGGCAAAATACAGTGAACGGTGAAAAGGTCTTGCTCAAAGACCCAAGCAAATAGAATAAAATCTGCCTCAATTCTGAGTAACTGTGATTTAATCCTACAGGTATGTAACAGAATTTGTAAACCTAGGCAATGTTTCAGCTCTTCGAACTTTCAGAGTATTGAGAGCTTTGAAAACTATTTCTGTAATTCCAGGTAAGAAGTAGTTGGTGTCAGGTGTTAGGCCCCTCGTATCTCCAACTGTTATTTGTGTGCTGTCATTGTGTTTGTGTGTGAACTCCCCTATTACAGATATGTGACAGAGTTTGTGGACCTGGGCAATGTCTCAGCGTTGAGAACATTCAGAGTTCTCCGAGCTTTGAAAACAATATCAGTCATTCCAGGTGAGAGCGAGGTTAAACACCGAGGCTGACTTTTGTTCTACAAAGGCTGTACTCACATTTTCAAAGCATAAGCCTTGTTTGCTACACATTGTCGACAAACCAAAAAAGCAGGAATCAAGACATGTAATTTATTTAAATTGATTCATGCTTGTATTAGTTGTGTTTTCTACTAAAAAAAAAAAAATCAGCCTTTGAGTTTAACAAATTTTTGCATGAGATACTTGCAGTAAACAGCCTATGTGATTTGCATCTTATGACATCAAGCTTTCCTTTACATGTTTTAAATATAAGTTAATTCTAAGCTTTCATACTGATGCAAATTTTCTCATTTATTGAAGGCACTTGATACAGCAACTTAATTCAGTTTTAAGTTATGTCAAAAAAAAAAAAAAACAAAACCAAACTCTAAAGGATAGCATGGGCCATGCATGGGGTATCGTTCTAAAGATGTCTTTCTTCTCCAAACCATCACCCCTCATATATCGTAACAAGATTATGATGATATAATTTAAATGTGCACATATAATGTCTTTACAATGGGGTTACTTTAATATAGAATACATTGCAAAAGTTCATAGAAGAAAGGTTTGGGCAAGAAGCATCAGCAAAAGTGAACTGCTATTTATGTAGGGTTGAGCTATAGCATGAATAATAAAATCACTTGTTTTGCCAAAAACAATGTGTTTGGTATTTTTTACACTATAAAATAAGTATAAACTTACATATTCTCCTTAATATTTCCAAATAATAAGGCTTTTCTTTAAAATTATTGTGTCACAAATTACTAGTCTTTTTGCATGAAATCTTTATCAGGAAATAAGTCACATGATTTTGTGTGTGTGTTTAGTATCTATTTAACATAATAATAAAAATCTACTCTCTTTGCAGGCCTGAAGACTATTGTAGGAGCCCTGATTCAGTCTGTGAAGAAGCTCTCGGATGTGATGATCCTGACTGTGTTTTGTCTGAGTGTATTTGCACTGATAGGGCTGCAGCTGTTCATGGGCAACCTGAGGAATAAATGCCTGCAGTGGCCTCCAGACAATTCTACTTTTGAAACAACTGTTATTTCCATCTTTAATAGTTCCATAGGTGAAAATGGTACATTTATTAATGCAACAATGACAACATTTAACTGGGATGAATACATCGAAGACAAAAGTAAGGGTTAATTATATTATCTACTGCATTGATTTTCTGATATTGATTTAAACAGATTTGAGAACATCAATATCTTTCCCTTGCCTTTAAAAGTGTGTAATATGGCCAAGAAACATAAAAGCACTATTTTCTAGTAAATTTTCTCATAAGCCCACATCTGAATATCAGCTAGCCCAAGAATCCTGCCAGAGCAGGTAAATGTGGCTACGTTCCTTCTTCCTTCTGGTGCTGGGTGAGTGGTTTTGCCCCAGGCACCCTTGCACAGCACAGACATGCCTTTAAGTGAATGCTAGTGATTTACCCCAAGCTTTTCTTGCAAAATAAGAACTAGATTCCATATTTCTGTCTTTTAATTTGTTTCTTATCTTTGGAAAATCAAGAAATGAGCACTTTTTTCTCTTTTGTACCTCATAATACACTATTTCCACCATTTTAGGTAGTTAATGGTAGTACTGTGTTAACAAAACTTGTTTAAAAATTCAGATAGAATAACTCTGAACATATCTACAGTTGATTGCTATTCTGTCTTTCATAACAGTATTGTTAATCTCTCCCATTTATCTGTTCAGCCCCTTCTATTTATTTTAGTGTATTTGTTATATTTAATGTATTCATAATTATGTCTAAGTGTTTTTTAATAAAGTCTGTATGTATATTTTAACTGCTGACTATATCAATGAAAGTTAGGAAACTTCAGTTAAAGAACTAAATGCTTTTGGATCCAGGTCTCATTGCCTTATAATCTTTTAATATACTTATCATCTCAGCATGCTTGAAATATACAAATGCCATGCAGAAATTTTGGATGATAACCTGTTCTTAAAGCCATCTGAAGAACAGATTCCATTCCATTCCCCTTTAGTTGTTCCTGGTACGATGTCACACAAATAGAAAGGGTTTTTTCTTAAATATCTGGCCTACATTTTCCCAATTTATGATTGAATATATTACTGCATCTGCTGTGGACTAAGATAATCATAGACTACTTTATATTAGTCTTTATCCAGTTTAAAAACTCTTATCCTCTGCATTTCTGGTCTTTCCTAAGCAAATCAATCCTATTTTCCTCTTTGCATTTTTTATACCTATTTTCATTTGTTTACTTTTTCAATCTTTCCAATTACTCTGGCTTTTTTTTTCTTCTTGTTTTTATTTCACCTCTTTTTTTTTTGTTACATTTTTTGTATGCATGGTTTTTTTTAATGAGATCCTTAAATTGAGTGCTAACTTCTCTAGCAATTACTTCTAATTTGCATCTTTACCTCATGCCATGTATGCAACATTCCTACTAGCACACTTCAAAATTAAGTCATTTTTATGTCAGCACTGTATTGTTGGTTCACAGTCAGTTTGTATTTGTGGCAGTTATTGCATCTTTTTGTACAGTGGCAGCTGCAGCCACCTCCTGATATTTTGTATTTATGTATTTGATTTTGCCTTGCCAATGTAGCATTTTCTACTTGTCTCTATTGGAATAAATCCAATTGCTTTTGGACAAACTTGTCAATTTGTAAAGGTCATTCTAAATTTCAAATACCTTTTCTCCTAGCCTTATGTCTGCAGAATACTTGATGCATGTTTCTTCTGTTGTTTCATGTCTTGAATTGATAATGAAACTTGTTAGAAAACTATATGTAGCACAGATACCTGAGAGATCTTCAGAGTGGGGTCCTTATGAATTGACATTGCATCACTGGCAACTGCTCTCTAAGAACTTCTTTCAAGTGTTTTGTGGTATTTCCAGCCAGGACATATTTCCTGTATTTGTATCTGCAAGTATCATGTAGGATTTGTACCCATGACTGTTCTGTTATTAATTTGGCAGGAGACAGAAATATTTTTTTATATGGCATATTTTCTACAAACTCATATTTACTGGTTGTATTACTTTATCATTATTATTTTTGTATTTTAAAAAATCTTGTTTGTTTTCCAAAGTAGTGGACTGAAAGTGGAGCTGTGCCACATAAGAATGTGAATTAGTCCCACAGAGGGATTTGCAAGTTCTGCTTGGACCCTGTCTGCATCTTTAAACTTGTTTTTAAGTAGGGGTGAGAGGTCTCATGGGCTCTGACTTGGTGATCACCAGAATGTCTGAAAATGCATTGATTTCTTATATAATATCTGAGACTAGAATTACAGATATATAAATTATGGACATAATTTCTCTCTCTCTTTAAAATAAGCAGATTTTATGCTGCCTCTATCATATACTGGTGGTGACAGAGTAGAAGCAGTCAGTAGGAGCTGGTTGCAATTCCCTGCTTGTCTGTTTAGCATTAGCTCTCAGTTAGTTCATGCCAGCTAAGCTAGTCCACGCCAGCTGGCAGTGAATCTCACAGAACCATCTGCTTCCTGAGAACAGCCAGAACATACCTTGTTCTGGCAACTTTAGCTTAATGTGCCACCTGACCCAAAAATCTCCATTAGAGATTCCCATTTTACCCTAAGAATCGCAAACTAGAAATTGATGGCAAAATATGTTTCCTTTTCTGCTGCAAAGAACAAAAAAAAAAAAAAAATAGAAGAGTATGTTGGGGGCTCTTAGGCTTTCTGTTTCTTTAAATTATATTTTACCTCATCTTAATAGTTAGCCTAAATGTTTAAGTACATTCACCTGCTACAGAATTTTGTGTATTCGTTTTGTGTAAAATACAATAAATGCGTGGTTTCTCCCCCAGCCGCTCAAATCAAGATCGAGTTAGAAATTTCTTGAACATGTTGTGTTATCACAGAATCAATGGGGTTGGAAAAGACCTTTGAGATCATCTAGCCTAATCTATGAACTAACACCACCATGGTCAACTAGACCATGGCACTGAGTGCCACATCCAGTCTTTCCTTTAACACCTCCAGGGATGGTGACTCCAGCACCTCCCTGGGCAGCCCATTCCAATGCCCAGCCAGCCTTTCTGTGGAGAAATTGTTCCTTAGATCCAACCTAAACCTTCACTGGCTCAGCTTAAGGTTGTGCCCCCTCATCTTGTCACTGTGTGCCTGGGAGAAGAGGCTGACCCCCACCTGGCTACACCCTCCTTCCAGTGAGTTGTAGAGACTGATAAGGTCTCCCTGAGCCTCCTCTTCTCCAAGCTAAACACCCCCAGCTCCCTCAGCTGCTCCTCACAGGACTCGCTCTCCACTCCCCTCACCAGCTTCGCTGCCCCTCTCTGGACCTGCTCCAGCGCCTCAATGTCCTTTCTGAACTGAGGGGCCCAGAACTGGACACAGCACTCGAGGTGTGGCCTCACCAGTGCTGAGTACAGGGAAAAAATCTCATCCCTAATATTTCACTTTTTTTTGAAGGAATACTTGGATAAAATAATATTTAATTGAGAATTATAAATGAATAGTACTAACTGTTACATATCAAAATGCACTAATGAAGGCACATAATTGCTCTCATCCTTTACCTCATTTTCCTGGTATTTTTTTTTATTTGCTCACATACACAATTTGATATTCCACCCCTTGTATCTTATAATTTGGTTATGTTGCTAAGAATTAACTGCATAACTAACTTTTTATTTTCTAAAGGCTAATTTGAAGATTATGTAGAAAGTAATTTTCCTGTCAAAACAATACTTTCTGTGCTTTTCTCATTCCTAACCACTATATATTGCAGTTGAACAATTTGTTAGCTCTGCTAGTTCCTTTCAAGTGTAAAAGTCTATATAATTGTTCAGTTTTCATTAGGCAGAAGTATTATCTTTCTCATAACCTTTTTGATTTTTTTTTTAACAGGTCATTTCTACTTCTTGGAAGGACAAAATGATGCTCTGCTGTGTGGCAATAGCTCAGATGCAGGGTAAGAAAATGATCATCATTTTTCATTATGCATCAAAGAAAAATAATTAGCTTTTTAGAATAGCTCAGATAGTCAACTTTAATATCAGTGTACTGTAGAGTTGCAAATTATCAATGTTTTGCATTTGAAGCTATACCTAAATACAGCCAAATACAGCCATCTCTGTGATTTGAATTTACACAGGCACTTCCTTCAGCCTCTTAGGCTACTTTTGTCAAGGTAATCACACATGAATGATCTGTGCATAATTGTTGCTGCCAGCTTGCTAACAACTGTTTATCAGCCATACTACTTGGTGTTCTTCTCTTGTCCTGATGGGGATGTGTTATGACAAATTGTGGGGAAGGGTTGAATACTATTATATTATTAAAGGATTGAAATATTAGGAAGTAGAATTTAAAAGTGAAAAATAATAAACTATATATTTTTATCTTAGGTATGTAAAATAACATTTTACTTGTTCATAATTTCATTAGCAACTGGTACTCCTGAACAACTTTGTTTTACTGCAGCATATCGTAATGTAGAGTAGTTGTTAAAAATAGCATTTCCTCTTCTTTTGTAGTCAATGTCCAGAAGGATATATATGTGTGAAAGCTGGTAGAAACCCCAACTATGGCTACACAAGTTTTGATACATTCAGTTGGGCATTCTTGTCACTGTTTCGATTGATGACTCAGGACTTTTGGGAGAATCTTTACCAGCTGGTGAGGACTTATTAAAATAAACAGCACCATCACCAATACCATTGCTACACAGTATTTGCATAGTTATTTTCATTCACTTGTCCCTAAGGCCTTTGGAATGGAAACTGTCTTTAGTTTCATATATGTAAATTTTTGTCTAACACAATAAGGCCCTTATTCATTATTTAGGTTCCCATGTGCTTCCTAAATACATTCCAAGGAATAGCTGTTATTTTATGAAGATGGTTAAGCATTATTGTTTTTTTACCTAAATGAATAAATTAATTTAAATTTTTAAAGTAAAACATGCTGTAAAAAGATGCTATGTTTAATAGATTTGCAGTCTAGTAAAAATATGTTTTGTTTGAAAAGGTTACACCTTGTCCCTGAACTACACATATCCTTACCTGAAGGGCTGTAATTTTCTCCACAGTAGCATTTTGTATAATGCACTGTTTTTGTGGCAGTGTAGTTTGGGACTGATGAGACAGGAAGGTAAGATGCTGATCAGTGGCCCCACCTACTGTTAAATTTAAAGGCTGTAATGTAGATTCTTATTGGTATAAGTTCTGAACTATTCAGAACTGGATATTCCTTGACAGTAGTAGACACAAAACATTTTCATATGTATTCAAGATATAATATTATTTCTATAAGGAAAAAGTAACTAAATAATCTGCTAACATAAATCAATCTTATGTTTCTAAATTATAACACAGAGGCTAACTTATTATGCAACAGTATTTAAAGTCAGTTTTAAAAGTGTATTATCTCTTTTTCTCCAGACTCTGCGTGCTGCTGGGAAGACATACATGATATTTTTTGTTTTGGTCATTTTCCTGGGTTCTTTCTACCTGATAAACTTGATCCTGGCTGTGGTCGCCATGGCCTATGAAGAACAGAATCAAGCAACAATGGAAGAAGCTGAGCAGAAAGAGGCAGAATTTCAGCAAATGCTGGAACAACTGAAAAAACAACAGGAAGAAGCTCAGGTATCCCTGTAAAGTAAAATTTCTTCTTCCATTCATGACCATGAACAGGTGCTTTGTGTCCACATATGAGAAAAATTTTACTCCCCTACTCCTAACAATATATTACTTTGCCTCATAATTCCTTAATTGTAAACAATCTCTAATGTTTTCCATTGCACTGTTTCTGCTGGTTTGAATGAACCTGTTAATTTTGTGACAAATATAATAACCAAAAAGCTAAAGCATTGGATTTTCAAATTGGAGATCGAAATCAACTTTTTACCGGAGCACTTGAACAAGTTGCCCAGAGTGCTTGTGGAGATAACCAAAAGCCATCTGGATGTGATACTTGGGCAGCCTGCTTTAGGGTGACCCTGTCTCCTGGAGAGGTGGACATGATGACCTCCAGAGGTTCCCTTGTAACCTCAACCATTCTGTGATTGTCTAAAATGGAGGTGGCCATGTGGAAAAAAAAAATCCAAAGAGTAATTGTGCTTATAAAGTAACAGAAGTAAAACTATTGTAGGTGATGGTGCTTCAGCAATATTTAGCTTTTTCTACTCCCTGAATATCTCTCATGGCAGAAAGCCATAGCTTTCCAGTTTTAAAGAGAGTTGGGAAAAGTGGAGAAACTGAAGAAAGTGCTTCTGTGGTACAAATGAAATTATTATGTTCTGCTTTGAAATTACTTTTCATTTTTTGAAGGCTCTCACATCTTTAATAGAAAAATTTATAATACCTGCTTGGCATGTGACCTCATAGAGCAGAAGTTGAACTATGTCTTCCATATAAGCATATGCAGTCAGCAGTCAGGGTTTTTTGGTTTATTGGTCAATTGCCATCTGCTGGGGGGAATTCTGAGAATTTTTTTGGTTGTTTTATACCACAGCTTGTAAATAAATGTTAACAAGATGCTCCACATGTTTTAAAAATCAAACAGCAACAAGTATATAATAGTGTGTAGTTTAACACAAATCTCTGATTATTATTTTCAAAACTGAGATATCAACATTACACAAGATTTTTACTAGACTAGGAGTATTCAAATCCCATCAAAATGTTTTAACAAAGTGTTGCTTCCTGTTAACAGGGATTTTACCACTTGTTTGAGCCTTGATTCTTTATTTTTACATACTATTTCAGATGAAAAATTCATTGCAACATATTGCTTCAATCTGAAACAGATGGTTTTTAACTTGGTTTTATGACAGCACAGTTTTCCCTTGGGTTACTCTTGCTCCTGGTTTACGGAGCAATGGCAAATTATGGCTCCTGTGGTATTTCACAAATTACACTTATGATATGCTGGGTTTGGTGAAATAGAAACATTGCTTTTATATTAAAATAATAATTTCTTTAAGAGTGGCAATAAATTTGAAATAGTGAGTGGGGTGTGTATTTGTATAAATGCTGTAAATTGCACATGTGCTTGTATGTATAGGCGGCGGCGGCAGCTGCGGCAGCTGACTCAAGAGATTATAGTGGAGTAGGTGGAATAGGTGGATTCTCCGAAAGTTCTTCTGAGGCATCAAAACTGAGCTCAAAGAGTGCTAAAGAGAGAAGGAATAGAAGAAAGAAAAAAAAGCAAAAAGAACAGTCTGAAGGCGAGGAGAAGGATGGGGAAGAATTTCACAAATCTGAATCAGAGGACAGCATCAAAAAGAAAGGTTTCCGATTTTCCATTGAGGGGAATAGACTGACATATGAAAAGAGATTCTCTTCCCCACACCAGGTACCATAGTATTATTACCTTTTAAACACCTTTTTTGTCTATTCATCATATAAAGAAAGCCCTGTATAGCAGTTTGGTTAATTCTTGCAAGATACCACAGATTCAGTAATATCCTAAATCAAAGACTAACTGAATAAAAACTGTAAGAATTTGAGAGATTTTGGTTTTACTGTGAATTCCTGTGTGAAAAATCAAAATTACATATATTAATTAATTTGAGCTGTATTTCAAGCTTCTTACACCAAGTTGGGTGTATTCACCATGATGAGTAGCTTCAAAACATGGTGCATACATACAAAATGTAATGTTTCAAATGAGTAGAGTACTAAAATTTGGGATGCAGAAAGCTCAACAGAAATTACATTAATGCTCATGTGAAAATTGAGAAATTAATTGATGTAAGACCATTAATTGTGTTATCTTAAAGAAGGTGGAAATGTGTGTGGCAATGTGTCTTTGCATGTGTTCTTTTACATTGAAACACCAGTGACTCAGAGTGCCATCTGCATCTCCCATCCAGACATTTATTTCATTTGATAGTTTTGTAATGTTATCTCCTACAGTTTTCAAAGCTCCTCTTCATTTGCCCACTTCTCACTCTCCCCTTAGCACTGCAAATCCAGATCTTGCATACATTCTCTCCTTTTCTGCCCCTTTTTGTGCCTCAATATGCTTCTTCCTTTTATCTTAATTTTCTTAATTTTCCCTGGTCTTTATGACTTGCTTTCTCCCTCTTTTTAGTCATTATTACTAAACTCATTCCTGCCTTTTTAATCCTCTTCTATTTCTGTCTCTGGAAAGCCTTTTTCATCCCTTAATGGATCATGAGTGTTCATACTCTCTTCATGTATTGTTTTCTCCAGCCTCCCATTCTCAAAGAAGCTCAGACCTCTTCATCCAATATTTTCTTACTAAGGACTGTCCTTAGATCAGACTGTGGTGGGAATCTAACGTTTCTGGCTTTCTATTTCTGCCACTCCTTCCACTCACTTCCTAATGTATTTCCTTTCTCAGTAGTAATGCATCCTTTCCCCCACCCCATCTCCTTGGTCTGCCACTGTTTTATGTTGTTAACTGTCTAACTAATCTCTGTGAGGCTTCATTGCTGAATTTAGTACATGATTCATTCTGTTCCTTATACAAATTTTCACACATGTCAATTGACTTCATGTTGAAGATCCATCTGATCCCCTAGGTGCATATTCTTGCCTATATCTTCATTCAAACTGCAACCTTATTCAACTGCAGCTCAATTCATCCATCTTGTAAGAAATTAAGCATTCCTCATACAACTTGTTCTTCCAGCATTTTCATCTCCTAGTTCATTTACAGTTGTTTGACTATGACAGTCTAGAAATCACCTCCCCTCTGATTTTCCAACCCTAGTTTCTTTTCACTCTGGATTCTAACCACTTAACAGAAGTTCCACTCACCAGTTTTTAATACCATTTTCCTGAGAAAACTCAGGCTTATTTGTAATGTTTGATTTTTTCCTTGGCATTTCATTTTCCTTCAATGTAAATGACCATTTTATTCCTCTTGAAATCTTATTCTTCCTGACATTCATAACTTTGTCTCCTCTCAATTCTCCTGGTTTAGTTGTGCTTTAGGAGATCCTTTTACCCCTTTGACAATTTTCCAAGGGATTTCCACAAGGCCTTTTACTAGATCCCTTTTCTCTCTCTCTTTTTTTTTTTTTTTTTTTTTTTTTTTTTTTTTTTTTTTTTTTTTTTTTTTTTTTTTTTTTTTTTTTTTTTTTTTTTTTTTNTTTTTTTTTTTTTTTTTTTTTTTTTTTTTTTTTTTTTTTTAACTCTATTCTGGACCCACAACTGTGAATCATTTTTAACTTGGACCTCTTTACTCCTGTATTCATCAAGAATGTTGTTGCAAAGAGCACTAACCTATCCCATTGCTTTTCTCTAATCTGCTAGTAAACATATTTACCTAAAGAATTTTTTTTTACTATCATAAAACATACTGTACCTAAAGTTCCTCTCAACCCACCTTGTCTACTTACAGTAAACAAGTCCCAGCTTTGACTGACCCAAAGCAGCATCATTACCTCCTGTTAAATTTCCAAACTAGTTTCTTTGAGGTCTTTCTGGTATGCTGCCTTTCATGCTTGGAAGAAGCTCCCATGAGTTTTCACAGAACACTTCATTGCTTTCCTCAAATCCCTCTTTAAAACTCTCTTTTACCATGCTGCCTACAGAAAGCTTGACAGGGAAGTGACTTCAGGTGAGCTAAGATGACTGTTTATCATACTCATCAATTTTGCCTCTGTGTATGCCCTTTCTTTTTGTATCCATCTGTTGTGTTGCATTTAAATGATAAGTTCTTTGCAGAGTGCCTTTTTGTTCTGCATTTTGCAGTCCCTGGTACAATGGGGCTCAGGTACACAAAGATAAGTTGCAGAAGAGAAACAAAGACACTGCTTTGTTATGTATCATCTCTGCTGTTCACAGAGGTCTTGGGTGAAATCAGGTGCTAATACTTACCAATCAAGTCAAGGCAATTACTGATATGCATTAAAATTAAGAACATATATAATTAGTTGTAAGATTAGAGCATTATTTTGACTCTAATACTGGAGATCCTCCAATAGCAGAACACTTACTCCAATGAGTAAACTGATGAGGATTAGCAAACCTATTTATACAAATTACAGGCAAATCATTGCATATTCAGGATAGCTAACACTTTAAAAAAGAAATAAGAAACCTAATATGGTCTATTTGACTAATATCTGAAAATATATGCACATTTTTTTAAACCAGACAGTATTTGGGAGCTACTTCTGTGTGAAGACTGGGTCACAGAAAATTTGCCTAAAATTTTATTTACTCAGCCTGTCATGCCAGTGTGGGGTAAAGAGTGTCTAGATATACTTATTCAGTTTATGAACAGTTGGTGATAACATAGGCAGAATAGCAGAGGAAACAATTCTGTCAAGCAGTTTCTTTTACTCTAATTAAGTGGATTGATTTCATATATCCAAAGCAGTAAAATAGCTAGTCTTTGTCTGTCACTTATGTGCTCTTTGTTTACTACCCAAAATGGGAGTGTTTTAGGGGGGACTGTATCAGTTCATTTCTTTGTAGATGACCTTACCCTTTAAGACATCGTGGGTTTTGCCTCTGTATGAAAATGTTGTATTTTAAAGGATTTTCATCTGATAATAATTGTTTTTATTTACCTGCAGTCTTTGCTGAGCATTCGTGGCTCCCTGTTTTCCCCAAGGCGCAACAGCAGAACAAGTCTTTTCAGCTTCAGAGGTCGAGCAAAGGATGTAGGATCAGAAAATGACTTTGCTGATGATGAGCACAGCACTTTTGAAGACAATGAGAGCAGAAGAGATTCTCTCTTTGTTCCTCATAGACATGCAGAACGGCGCAACAGTAACATTAGCCAGGCCAGTAGGTCATCCAGAACATTACCTGCACTTCCAGCAAACGGGAAGATGCACAGCACTGTGGACTGCAATGGAGTGGTTTCCTTGGTTGGTGGGCCGCCAGCTTTGACATCACCTACAGGACAGCTTCTGCCAGAGGTGATGATTGATAAAGCAGCCACTGCTAGCAATGTAAGGAAGTCTGCAATAGCTCAGGCATGATGTTCTCTCCCTGTATGATCAGTCACTGTTTCCACAAATGTAGTCACATGGCAATGATGGCCTTTCTGGCTAAGCTATGAATGCTCCTCTCATGTTTTTCAGCTATAAGATAAAGGAGAAATTGAAGTTGCCCAGCCCTCATTAATTAAATATGTGAAAATGCATGTGAATCGACTGGGAATTAAGAGAATAGCATAGTCAACCATTGAATGAATTTAGTTTGTGCAGTCTTATACCTATTGATTCTTTATGCTTAGACTTAACTGGATGATTCTCTGCTTGTATATAAGAAAAGATATCAAAATGGAAAAAAATTACATTTACTTAATGGAATATATTAAATTAGCATTTAGCTTCCTGCTGTCCATACATGAAACTTTTGATGTTATCCTGGTAGTACAACTTACAAGGGTTATGATAGTGTTCCTGTAATATAGCTAATTTTTCTATGGGTTTTTTTGTGTCAACATTACTAAATATTTTTTCATTTGTCTGAAAAATGTGCTAGGAAATTCATAGTTTATTCTAAATTAAGGAATATCTTAAGAAAATGCATTTATGCTTAGTTCCTTTACTGCTAGCTGTGTGGGCTGTGCATTTTCATGTTGAGAAAAAGACTTCACTGCCTAAATAGAAATATATTTACAGCAGAGCTCATTGACAAGCACTGTGAATTACTTTTTAGTCTGAAATCTGCTTCAATATCTCAGCCCTGTTTCAGCAAAATACTTAAAAACATATTCTTAAGCCACAAGAGCGATGTGCTGCAGTGTTTGTGTATTTGTTCTATGCAGAGTCAGGCATACCTTAGTCTGTTGTGAAGCCTCAATAGAACTGGAGCATGGTGTGGGACAGCAGGAGAGCTACAGTAACTTACAGTGTTATTAAATGTACAGTCAATTAGCTATTTCATCAGTGCTTTATTTTCAGGGCACTACTACAGAAACTGACTTAAGAAAGAGACACTCTAGTTCTTACCATGTTCCTATGGACTACCTAACAGATCCAAGTGCAAGGCAAAGAGCAATGAGTATAGCCAGCATGCTTACAAACACAATGGAAGGTATGTAACAAAGATTTCTTTTTGGTATGACAATGCCTTAAAAGTGCTATTAAATGTGCAATGCATTAAGTGGTAGTGATGTTTAAAGGCAGCTATTTCAGCCTAGAGGATACAGACAAGAGATTTCTATATAGAGTTAGGGGGGGGATTTTTTGATGGTTTGCATTTTTGGTGGTTTTTTTTTTTTTGCTTTTTTGGCTTTTTTGGTGGTTTTTTCGTTGTTGTTTTGGTGGGGTTTGTTTTGTTTGTTTGTTTATTTTTAGTTTGGGACTGACAAATTTGGAAAAAGAGTCCAAGTTTGCAACATACTGATAAGTTTGAGGTAGAAGCAGCAAGTTTCCAATTTAAATGCAAGCAAAACCAATTATTCAATGTAGTCTTTCTATAGTGAAGCTGTGTTTTGGGGGTGAGCTCTTTTTAGGTTATTGAAATGGCTATGTTTCTTGCAGTAGCGCAATCCCCTTCTACCAATTCAATAGACTTGCTGTTTCACAAAGGAGGGATCATGTTCTTCTTTCTGTAAGGCTAAATACAATTACTTTGAATCATGGAATTAAGCAATTATTTGTAAGAAAGGTTGAAGCATTATGTTGAGGCTTAAATGACTATGCCCAAAATAGAAAATTGGAAGGGAATAAAGAGCAGCTGTGCGCATGTGGACCATAATGCTGCCTAAATACTTGTCTGACTTCAGGCTTGTTCTAAATGCTTATCTTTCATGAGGTTATTTTAAAATTAATGATTTTAAAATCGTTAAAAATGGGACTTTAACGATCATCTAGAGTTCCAACCCCCCCTGCCATGGACAGGAACACCTTTCACCAGAGCAGATTGCTCCAAGCCCCATCCAACCTGGCCTTGAACACATCCAGGGACAGGGCCCGGGTTCCCTGGGCAACCTGTGCCACGGCCTCACCACTCTCACAGTAAAGAATTTTTGCCTACTACCTAATCCAAACCTACCTTCTTTCTGTTCAAAACTACACCCTCATCCTCTCACTCAACTCCCAGAAAAAGGCTCCCTCTCCATCTTTACTGCAGGCCCCTTATAAGTACTGGAAGGCTGCAGTAAGGTCTCCTTGGAGCCTCTCTTCTCTAGATAAGTAACCTCAGGTCTCTCAGCCTGTCTTCACAGGCCATGTGCTCTGGCCCCTAAATGTCTCTGTGGCCTCCTCTGAACCTGCTGTTCTGCTGAGACCCCTAGAGCTGAACTCCCCAGCAGGCAGAGGAAAACCCCTTCCCTCAGCCCTGTGGCCATGTGGCTTTTGATGCTGCCCAGGAGGATATTGGCTCTCAGGGCTTGACTAACATTGCTGGCTCACACAAAATTTTTCAGCCACCAATAGCCCCAAGTGTTTGTCTACTGGGCTGCTTTCAATCCCCTCATCATCCAGCCGTATGACAGGTTTCTAAGACAAATTTCTCTTTAGCATTCTATGTAGTATTAGCTTGTGAATGGTTCTTTTATCTACTGAATCTTTAGTATAGTTGTTTTGGGGGAGGGGGGTTTGGTTGTTTTTTTTTTTTTAATAGATTATTTAAAATTTTAATTTCTTTTAACTGAAAGCAGTGTTAGTTTCAAGATATCAATACAGTTTGTCAACAGTACCTTGGAAAACAGCATTTAGGCTTCAAGGAAATATCAAAATATCTAGGCAATTCTGGAGCAGAGACATATGTTTAAAATGTTATTTTCATTTTTCTCTCTAGAACTGGAAGAATCCAGACAGAAATGTCCGCCATGCTGGTATAAATTTGCTAACACTTGCTTGATTTGGGACTGCTGTACTCCCTGGCTGAAAGTCAAACATATTGTAAATTTAATTGTGATGGACCCATTTGTTGATCTGGCCATTACCATCTGCATTGTCCTGAACACCCTGTTCATGGCCATGGAACACTACCCAATGACAGAACAGTTTAGTGGTGTGCTTTCAGTAGGAAACCTTGTAAGTCTTTAATGATGTGCCATGTTTGTAAAATGCATTTTTCTTCAATTCTTTGGTGACTTATGCGCATTCATGTAAAGTAAAAAGTTGACTAGAGGTTTGGGATTGTTGAACTTAAATTTAAGTTGTTGACATTTGTGAATTTCACCACTCTTACTTTACAGACTAAAGATCTACTGAGTTAATATATGCGCTTTGGTTTTTAAAATCTTCATCTTCTGTCATTGAAGCTCATTAAAGGATTATTTTTTTTATGAATAGTTACAAATCATGAGAATTTTCAGTTTCGTTCCCACACCCATTCTGCTCCTCACTAGCACCTTCTAAGGATCTGGGTGTTCAAGGAGTTTTAGAGGGGAAGGACCCAGTAAGTATGACAGATGTAAGGAAATTATGAAATGGAATGACAATGTTTTCCACAGGTCATCCTGAAGAAGAACGGTTCTGCTCAACTTTCTGCATTTTTTTTTCTTAATAAAATAAGTTTATGATAGGAACAATTGTCTTTATTCCTAGAAGTCAAAATGTGGTCTAAGGGCAAAAATGAGCTCTCAGTAGATAAAAATTACTATTAAAATCAGATTATATTCTGTGTATTGGCATTCATATTAGCAGGCTAGATTAAAACAGCATTTTCCCATTCTTTTTCTTTGGAACCCAAACTCTGTGATGCATATGTAAGCTTCAAATATTAATTTTATTCCTAACCCCAGTGTTTGGAAATACAGAGAAGATATTCATATTTACCATTAATTTCTTGGTGAAAATATAACTTAGCACATGTTGATACGATTAGTTTTATTTTTAAAATATTTTCTTCCTAAACTGGAGTAAGAAACTGTATTTTCCTTGCAGGTGTTTACTGGAATTTTCACAGCAGAAATGTTTCTCAAGATAATTGCCATGGATCCTTATTATTATTTCCAAGAGGGCTGGAATATTTTTGATGGTTTTATTGTGAGTCTTAGTTTAATGGAACTTGGCCTTGCAAATGTAGAAGGATTATCTGTTCTTCGATCGTTCCGATTGGTAAATATACTATTTAAAATATTTTTCTAGATTACATTTTTGTATTTGTACATATATATAGTGTGCATTTTTCATTTCCAAATTAAATATTTGGCTGGGACAGAAGATCTTTCAGAACTTCCAAAATACTAAATTGTATACTCACTAGATGGCATGTATATATTATGTCAAATTTGTTTTGCATATTATCATAGTAATGTCTATTTCTCCTTCAAGATATTGTCAACACCAATTCTATTCTTGCTTAAAGGATTAACTTTTCTAATACAATTATTTCTTAGTCTTCTCCCTAGATGAGGGAGTAAAAAAAAGCAAGAGCTACAGGGCCTACACTACCTGTGACTGAAGATTAGTGAATTGCTTGGTATATAATGAGTTAATTAATAAAATTTATTGACAGTTTTACCTTATAGACTTCCATTACCAATTGCCTTTATTGGTTAGTTTTAAAAGAGAGTAGTGTTAAGATTTCATTGTCCAGGGGCTTTCATCCCTACCAGCCCTTTCTGTACCATCCTCTGCAAGGGTCTATCTGCTGACAGATTTTCTGTTCAGAAGTCACTACAGTGTCTCTGTCTGTTATTAGGTATCTCTTTCATGAACTGGAACTTAAAATATGTTGTTCTTCCTGCAGACTAGGCTAGCATGCAATTCAGTGTCCAAACACTCTTCTGAAAAGACCTACACAGTGAGAGACATGAAGCTAGAGTTCCTGGTCATCAAGCTCAACTTCTGCCTTAAATTAAAAAAAAATATTCAACTTGAAATGAAAGTTAAATACATCCCCTTTAAAAAATAAGGGGTTTAAAATAATTTTTTTTCTGGTTATCTGCATAGCATTATAGTACAGACTTTGCCTGAAGTCTAAAATCTGTCTGGATTGACTTCTCTCTCTAGTAGATTCTGGTTTTGACTTGACATTTACGTGTTTACTTTGTGAAACAAAATCATCACATGAATAATATTTAGTTTTATATTAATTTATTTTTGTATTTTTTCAGTTGTCTGAACAATTGCTGTATCTTTCCAATAATTTCATTTTTGTCTGTTTCAAGTTGTACTTATTAATATAATACTTTCCCTTGTTTTACAGAATGTTGTATGACAAGCTTTTTAAGACACATTACATTTATTTTAAAAGACAGAAAATATATTGTTAAAGATACTTGAAAGTCACTTTTATGTCTGTGATTAGCAACTCTAATTTGTTTCTCTTTTTAGGAAAACCATTTACACCATCTCACTGTCTGTTAAGATTAAAGAATCTGGAAGTGACTATACACTTATGATCCTGTTAAACTGATCACATTTTCTATGTGCTCATTTATTTTTAGTAATATTTTCTCAGAGTTTACAGGAGAAAGACAGTTTTGTTCAACTTCTTAAACAAGTAAAACTTCTCTATAAATACCTAAATTCAGCAGAAGAGTAAAAGTCTGAATAGGAGTATTTGTGATAATTTCGATGTAATTGAAATGAGCTTACAGATGTTATTTTTGATTTCTTTTCACTTGAGTCAGGACTTAACACTGCTGATATGTAGTATTGTACAAAGAACTGGAAACAGAAATTTTGTAATTTGAACTTCTAAAGATTACAAGAGACACGATGTAGACACACAGTAACTGAAATATAAAATGTATAGCAGTAATTACATTACAATTAGATAACAAAGAACCATATACCATTCTTCTGTTTTGCAGCTTCGAGTTTTCAAATTGGCAAAATCTTGGCCAACCCTAAATATGCTGATTAAGATTATTGGCAACTCAGTGGGAGCTCTGGGGAATCTGACCCTGGTGCTGGCCATCATTGTGTTCATTTTTGCTGTGGTTGGGATGCAGCTCTTCGGGAAGAGCTACAAGGAATGTGTCTGCAAGATCTCCAGTGACTGTGAACTTCCACGCTGGCACATGCATGACTTTTTCCACTCTTTCCTGATTGTATTCCGAGTGCTGTGTGGAGAATGGATAGAAACCATGTGGGACTGCATGGAGGTTGCAGGCCAAACCATGTGCCTTACAGTCTTCATGATGGTCATGGTGATTGGAAACCTAGTGGTATGTAATCAGTGGGGATTTTTTAAAACTCTTAGGACATATCTCCTGATTTTCATTATTTAGAAATCTGAAATTATGACTAGAGAAGGACTTCAGGAAAACATGTAGTTCACTTGCCCTTTCTGTACACAAGGTTCAAATATAACTTGATTATCTATGAAAAAGGTTTGCCTGTTTTTCTTTTAAATCTCAGTAAATTTATAATCTCTTTAGGAATATCAGTGCTGAATTATGTTTATGGTTAAGAGTGCCTTTTAGAAAAATATCTAATGTAAATCACCTTTTACAGCCAAGTAAACTAAATTGTCTCAATATTGGTGGAAAACTGTTTATGACAACATTTATAATACTTAAAACATTTATAATACTTAAAAGCTTACTGTCACATCTGCTTTCAGTAATTTCTCTGGGAAACAAAACAAGCCTAACTCTTGGAATTTTTTTTCTCATAAGTGATGATTTGTAAATGGCTTATCCCTTTTGCTACTGGCTTCTGAATTCCTCCCAAGCAACATTTTGAATAAAGACACAAGTACTGAATAACGATACTTTCATTTCTTATACTCGGCATTCCTTGTAGCACATCTCTACATAACACATGAAATTTCTGTACCAGTGGTGCTTTCCTGACGCAGTCTCTATACCCCTTTCTGCAGTACCTCCACCTTGCCAGTTTTCACACTTTCTGTATATATACTTTTCAGTTTTCTTAACAATCCTTTCCACAACAGTACTTCAGAATTAAACAACATATTGATATTGAATCAGTTCACCAATTTGCCATAAACCATGATTATGTTTATTTGTAGTTATTTCTCCTTGAGTGCTGGCATCCTTTATCTTTTTGGTATGATCCACAAATTTTATAAATATGCTTATCCACAGTCATCACTACTAAGTCACTCTTGAAATTGAGGTGTACCACATCTGTGGACTCTATCTCTTAGCTAGTGTTCCTGCCCAGGACCAAGATAGACTCATATATACTGGCCAAATACAGTATTTTACTATATTTTGAATTAGAGGTATTAGAGCTATGGTCTGGTGAGCTGTAGAAGACTGGTATTTGCCTATATTCCCCTGGCCTATGAACACTACAGTGGACGTAGCTTGCATAAATCACTGCATTATGTTGTATTCTGCCTTGTTTGTCTTTCTCCGTTTTGAGGAGTAGTTTTGCATTACTGCAGATTGTGGAGGAGACAGTAAAGGAACAGCTCAGATTTTCACCTATATTAGTGAAGTTAAACCAGCTAAAAGTGCTTTTGGCAAGATAATAAAATGTTGGGGGCAGGAAATATGAACTGAAAAGAATAGCAGGAAGGTGCATAGAAATAAAGTATTACATGTGAAATAAAAATGATCTCATATTGAAAATCTCTTAATGACGTATCTTTTATGACTTAAGAGTAATTTTTTCCTTATGTTATTTTAGGTACTCAACCTATTTCTGGCCTTGCTGCTGAGCTCATTTAGTTCAGACAACCTTGCTGCTACCGACGATGATAATGAAATGAACAATCTCCAGATTGCTGTGGCAAGGATTCAGAAAGGCATAGATTATGTGAAGAGAAAAGTGCGTGAATTCATCCAAAAAGCTTTTGTTAGAAAACAGAAAGTTTTAGATGAAATCAAACCTCTTGAAGACCTAAACAATAAAAAAGACAGCTGTATTTCCAACCATACAATAGTAGACATAGGTAAAAACCTTGCCTATCTCAAAGATGGGAATGGAACTACCAGTGGCATAGGCAGCAGTGTGGAAAAATATGTTGTTGATGAAAGTGATTACATGTCATTCATAAACAACCCAAGTCTCACCGTGACAGTGCCCATTGCTGTTGGAGAATCAGATTTTGAAAATTTAAACACAGAGGAGTTCAGCAGTGAATCAGACCTGGAAGAAAGCAAAGAGGTAAGACTATTTCTAATTTTAAAATACTCTAATGCTTTTCTTTTTTTTTTACTGAGGTTACTATTGTTGAAGTAAAATCTTCCTTTAATTCTTTTACAATAGCATGTACAAACTCGTAATGTTATCTAAGGTAAATTGATGTAAGGTTGTGAGTTTTGAATGATGGTGATACAACATTGCATTTACGGTAATAATCAAGATATGTAATAAAAGTTTTTAGAAAATTAATTTTTTTTCTATTTTAGTTTGTTAAATCCTTAACAAGCAAAGGAACCAGTTTGATAGAACCGGATACCTGAAGTCATACAAAGTCTGTATGGCTAGTGCAACTTTCTCCATGCTTATTTCATTAGAGTAGTTTATTTTTTAATCTGCTTTTTTAACAGTTCATTCTGATGTTTTTAACCTTTTTTATATAGTGAAAATGCATCCATATACATCATAGATAGGTACATTTGAATACTGGACTAGCATCACTAAACAATGTCAAATAAATCACTAATAATTAATCTGATGGTAGCAGAATGACTGAAGTGAAGTAATGGCCTTATGGTAAATAAGGTACAAAGCTTAATATCTTAGTATAAGATCCTATCATTTCACTACTCATTGTTATTTTCAAAGCCATAAGATATTTGAATCTGTTACCTACTGTGACTAATAAAACATACCTCTTTCTGGCACAAGGTGGTGCCAAGTGGATAAATCCAGTCTAGCACTGAGAGTTATAGTGGATGCCAAGGCATTATTACTGTGTGTGTATTATTAACCCACTGCTTTGTCCTGCACAACTCAAAGTGGTGGAGGCACATCAGCTCAAGCCAAGTAAGTCTGTGCAGTGCTTAGTACTGATGCTAGTTCATTCAGCATTAGCATGGGTATTTTTGAATAGTATTGCATGCTGTGGGGTAGACATAAACTAACATAAAGGCTTTCATTAGTGGTTTTCTCTTACTTTAATCTAAGAATATAACTGTGGGTAAGATTCTAGTAATTTTCTGCCTGAGATCCCTTTTTGTACCAACTGCATTACACATTTAGTCATATTTTCTTGTTTCTTATCACAAATGTCTATATTATACTATTTTTTTTCAGATTGATTGTATTAATATTTATCTTACTCTTCAAACCCAGTACTTGGGTGTAGAACAAATCAGTTGAAGTTTAACTTTCAGTTGTTCTGTTCTTCATTGCACAAGAGCACTGTGTCAGTAGGAGAGGTGGAGGGTGAGCTTTATACAAACCTCTGTGTTGGTGGTTACCAGGGCTGAGTATGACAATGGTGCATCTCTTACTTCACTGTATAGCTGGAAGATGTGACTGCTGACTGTTTTTCATTAGCCAAATCTTTCTTTTCTTCCCATGGGTTATTGTACAAGATGACAGAAATATTGACTTCCTATAGGAAAAGTTTTGAAGTAGATTATCCCACATTTGAGGCATGAACTCCAGTCATCGAGCTTCCACCATAAAAAAGAGGCTTTCTACACCACCTACCATATTTGAAAGAAAACAGTGTATTCATTGCATTCTTGGAGGCACTTAATGCTGTTGTGCTTCAGGAACTGCAAGTGATAGGTGATTAGACAAAGAAATGCATATTAAGTCAGGGATGAGCTAGTGCCAAGCAGTTTTGACGGACCAAATCTGAAACTCTGCTGAGCATATTTGGGGCCAAAATTTCTTACTAATGCAGATGCTGAAGGTGAAAAATTGAAGAGAATATTTATCAGTTTTAGGGATTTTCAAGAGAGCAGTAAGCAAAGATTGTGGACATATTTCTTATGAAAGTGCCTAAAGTTCAAGTAGATTTGAGTCACAGAGGCATGACACAAAAGCATTAAAATCTTGATCTTAATTCCTACTCTTCACTAGATACTCTTAATCACCATGTTTTTTTTGATATAGTGGATTGTTGACTTGTTAGTCAGATGACCAACACTCTTTTAATGAAAATGATCCATAGGAAAAGAAGGCATTAAAAAATTGACTACAAATGGCTTTTTTAATAAGGTTTCCTCTTTTTTGCCATGCCATAATGTGCCTTGCACTTCTGGCCTCTCATGTTTTCCTGTTTATATGACGCTGCTGTAGCCAAGCTGATCTGCTAGTAATTTCATTGCTTACACCACAAATGAAAAAATCTAAGTCAGGAACTGCCATCAAACTGTGTTAAATGAGCAGATTTGCAGATGAAAGGCAGCTGAGGCATCCAGGTGTTGTGAGGACACTGCACAAGATAGCCAGATGCTGATGAGTGTGTGTCTGTGTGCTTCTGCTTGCTTCTGTGTCTACAACCAATTACATGTCTTCACTGTTGTATAGGGTAATAAACTGAATTCCAACAAAATAATTATTGTTTCTTAGCAATTTTTAATTAAGCATGTTAATATTTGGTGAATTCTTTATTATAGCACATGTATCTTTCTAGTAGTTTGATAGAAATGTTAACTAGATTTGTAGAAACAATACATGTAATGTTGTACATGCTTACTAGGTGTGAATTAACAAGGAATTTTTTAGAAAGTTACTGAAACCTAAAATAAATTTAATTATAAAAACACTGTGTCCCTAAGAATGTCAGTAGGTGAATACAATATAATAAGGAAATTAGAGAACAAATACTAGACAAGACTTTATCATGGAAGTACACCGTTTATAATTGTGGGACCACTGTACTGCGTCCATTGTCCTATAAATAATGGTCTGTGGATTTGAGCTGCAGTACTGCTATTTAGTGTAGAAACTATATTTTTTTCCATTTTAGGTTTTTAAGTACTATGAGGGTGGTTTATGTGGAAAATTTTGTTGTACATGTATGACTGTATAATAATTAGTTAAAATAATCATAATAGGAGGTAATAATTAATTTATGTTAAATGTAACTTATAGACCAATAATGACACCAAGATATACCAATGACAAAATTTTTTTCAATGCTTTGAAGAAAATGGGCTCTTCTAATGCTGTTGCAGACACATTAATAATGTATATTTTACTGTAAGCAATATTCAGTGCAAAAAAACCCAGAGGTGTTGTGTCCTGAACTTCATGTCCTACCATTCTTACTTCTCACAGGAGTAGAACCAAGCTGGATCAGTCAAGCGGGCAGCTCTGGTGCCTTTTAGCGAGGCAGAGCATCGTGTCACCAGTTTTACACAGGTTACCTAAGCAAGTTATACATCTCTCTGTCTCCTATTTAATCACCTTTTAGCCAATATGGACTGGCCTGCATGCTCTTCAGCTATGATCCTGTCCCATTCATTGCAATAAGTACCAACATGCACAGCTGCTCCCTGCTGAGCCTCAGGACTTGCATCACAGCATGGTCAGGCAAGAGCGGCAGCCCCAGGATTTCTGTGGTTCCAATACTCTCCGTAATACTTTAATAGTATTTTACAGTGCATGCTATGTACCTCTCTCAATCTTGATGATACAGAATTCAGGATTCTATTTTTGAAGGGTTTTCTTTTGCTTTGAGGGAAGGCAGAATATGTAACACATATGCCATGTTTCTCATCAGAAGCTTATATTTATATAAAAGTCCATCTGTAAATTGTGTTGATAATGAAAAGCTGCTAGCTGCTTTAGAAAACTTTCATATTGTTGTATTTTAACTTATAATAGAGGTAACCTGCATACTCATCATAGTCATGGGTTTTTTTTCACTTTTTTTTTTTTGTTAAGTGCTTTTCTTTCATACCTGTATAAGCATTTAGTTATTTTGGAGATTAATATGCAGTACCTGGAGCACCATTAAGCATGAAATTAATTTAATTTCTGCAGTCAAAGCATGTGACCGTAATTTGGTTGAAAGAATTCATACAAAACTGTTATTTGGCTGGTTAAACATTCAGAGATCAGTTCTGCTCTTACTTATGCTCACACTTAGGTGTAGAGGTGCAAAGGCAACACTGATTGCAAGATGTGGCCCAATTCAATCTTATTATAGCTCTTTAATTTATGGTCAAAAAATTATTACCTCCCCAAACAGCTAAAATTGTCTGCCTTGAGAAACTTAAAGTTATTCTCATCTCATCAGTAATAAACAAAGTTTAGCATTCAAGTAAATAAGCTACTGAGTTTGGATCAAAATGTCTGGAAGTTCCTCAGCTTCAGTGTGATTTACATCTCACCAATTAAGCAATGCCATATTTACAGCACCACAGTTGCTGCTTTCAGTTTTGTAAATCATAATTGCTCCAGAGCTTTTCCTCTTATTTTATAATGAATAATTATTCTAATAAGATGTATTTTGATTTTAAAATGTTCATTATTTAAAATCTCTTGATACTCTGAAGAATTTAGGCTTTGTATTGTGAATTGGTAACACTGTATTGGCATATTGTGATTCATTGTGGATGAAATTATGTTATTAATGTTAGAGTTAACTGAAGTTTGCTTAATTAATATTTGCAAACAGAACTCCCTTACTCTATTTCAGAAATACCCTTTTACTATTGCTTGTATGAATAAAAGAGCCTTTTAAAGCAGTTTTGATGGGAGAGCTTTTTCCCACTGGAGCATATTTCCCCTGCTACTTAAAATGCTTTTTCTTTCATACAACGTTTTTTGCAAATATTTTCATTTAATAAATTCTCATGAATAAATAAATCAATAAAGTCCAGAGTGGACTGTAATTTAGAGATACTGGGGGTTTTTTTGCAGTATTTGCAACCAATAATCACCACAAAATGGTTTTGCTTTGATTTACAGTGTTCTGGATTTTTGTACTTATAGAGTTATTCTGCCTAACTGTATAAGCACTAGAAAGAGTGACATCCAGATTCCACTTAATTGCACCTGTGGAATCACAATGTTGTCTACCACTTGGGAGATTTTATAAGTGATATCCCCATACTGAAAAAGACTGGATAGTTTAGATATAATATTGCCATTTATATCACAGAACATTTAATTTTCATACTGACATCCAATTTAAACCAATTTAAAACCAATTTAATTTCCATTATTTAGCATGTTAACAGGTATTTGGGAGGAAAGGAAATTGAAAGCAAAATCAAAATGGTGGTTCCTCTTGGTGCCATCTTCTTGCTTATGTCTGTCCTGCTCTTTGGTCCTTCAATCCCTTAAATTATGATTTCAACATCTACTAGTGGCATCCTGGCCAATCATGAAATTTCAGGCTTTGTTAAAAATGTTAAGCTAAGAGCTGTCCAGCTACTCTCAGATAACCATATTTGGAACAAACAAAGAAATGTTAGAAGTGGTCTGGCTGTAAGTGAAGCAGAATTGTATGAATCTATGCAATACTGTCAAGGTTCAGAAAGTAATTATGTCAAAAACTTCCTGACCTAATCTTGGCTGCTGCTTTTTGCCATGCAAGCTGCTTTCCTATCTTGAAAGCTAAATTAAAATCTGTATCTCATACTGTTCTGTATTGCTGACTAAAGCATGACTGGCAAGGCTGTTGGTACATGTGATTTAAATCTCTAAGATAATCAATATACTGCTGCTTTAGGAACATGTAACTACTTTTGTCCTCTTACTGTTTTCTTCAAAAAGGAGGTAGAGTATATACATTCTAAGGTTTTGAAAAACAGATTTCTCTGAGAATAATTCTCTTAGCATACTATTCAGAAAATTTCTATCTTCATAACTCTCCAAGAGGGTCTAATGCTTGATCCTGATAAATCTCTTATAATCTGCATGACTGAATCATTTTGAAATCTAGACTCATGGTATAACAAAAAGCTTAAAATGCACTTTAGATGAATGCTAATGCTTGGGTTTGATTATTATCTTGTTCCTATAGGTTCATTTTTTAAAAAAGCTATATACATTTAAGTAAATTGCCTAAATCCGGTTTTTGTAATGCTGGTAAGCAGAGAACAATTTACCAGGTACAAAGGTAATGTCAGATATGCTTAGATAAAGAACTGGGATATCTGCTACATACCTAAATATCAGGGTCTGCAGTTGGGGTAGTCTAGCTAGCCAGCTGGATTCCATATGTGTGAACACTGGTAAGTCACAGTAAGTGCTAGAAAAAGTCTTCCTATGTATTAAGGCATGGACAAACATGAAAGCAATAACATGATCCATTGCCAGGTCATGTTGTGTTGAATACACAGAAATCACTACAAAGTTCCTGAGTCATTTGCTTTATACCAGAGCATAAGTTTGCTATGGAAATACATAAATGTTGCTGAAAAGTTTTCCTAGCATACTGAACTTACTTGATTCAATAAAACATTGAGATGTTGTATCATAAATTCCTTCTAGCTATTTCTAATGCATATTAAATTTTATAAATTTTATACATAATGCCATACAATAAATTCAATGTTAAAAATGACAAAGAAAAATATTATACTGTTGAAAATGTCTATTTTTTGTTCTTTTCCCAAATGATGATTCAGTCTTACAGACTGAATTTATTGAATAATTTTTATAATATTTTTTTTTAATATACTGATCTGGTTGGGGCTGAATTCAGGTATAATAGAGCAGCATGCTAAGGAAATACTCTGTTGCATCAGCAGAAGAGTAACTGAGTTCTCAGTGGGATAAGGCATTTAATTTTTGCATTTCAAGTATCAGCTACTGTTGATTCAATTTAGGATTTTCCTGTTCAGTTTAACTCCTGTGATTATTGTTACAGCTCTGTAAATGAAGCATAGCAGATTTTTAACAGGAAGAGACTTGAAAGATACAGTGCCCCACATAAATAAAGTTGTCTTTTTGATGTTCCTGATAATTTACAGTTCTATTGGTAATTTCTTACCTTTCCATCTGATATTTGTGATCTCTCCTTACAGTACTTATATCTAACCTTCCATGTTGAGTTAACTGTTACTCTTAAGCAATTTCAGTAATAGGAATCCATTACCCTTTTTTGCTTATTAAACTAACTGCATAATATCTGAGTCACTGATTTTCCTGTAAAAGAATGGACAGTAGGTCTTTCAAATTTACGGGTCAGCCAGTTCATAATTTTTGTTTGCTCTGCTACTACTACAGCATTCTGCTAGAAATGCTCTCCAGACTGGAATGATGCAAGCAACATTTTAAGAAAACACTATGAAATAAAAACAGTCACTTCTCAGTTTTAAAATTATTTACTGTATCGTATTGATAAATGGTAAATTTTAACATAATATGTAATTTTTTTTAACGTACCTTGCATTTATGGTATTTCTGGCTTTTTCTCAAACTGATGATTGACTTCCAGTGATGTTTAAATGATGTGATCCTTACTTGACGACTACAGTATTTATCCCATACTTTCTAGTTTCTCCATTTTAGAGGCAGTATTCCACAATGACCAAACTTCCATGCATTATGTATAATTAAAACATATTGCAATGTGAAATTTGTCAATAATAATCTGCAGAAAAGTGTACATCCATCTCTTTGTACATTGAACAGATGTTAAATATAAATAATAGATGTTAAAATTCATGCAGAAATATGAGACATGAATGTCTAAGTTGGGAATTTCAAAAAAGCATGGATGAAAGGGGTGTGCAGATATCACTGAAACTGCTCCAATACAACTGCCCTCCAATACATGTTTCTATTTGTTCAGCCTTCCTCTGAAATGTGCTCTACAGTGAACCATTTTACAAAAAAATCAAAGTTAAGCTGATGTCAGAATCACAATACAATATATTGTCAGTGTGATTCAATAGAATCAGAATGGGGGAGAAAAGAATGAATCTTTTTATTTGAAGAACATACTGAATATTTGTTGCTATGTAAAATTCCTTTAGTGTCTCAAGTTACTTTCTGTATCCACAGACTAATACTGTTTACATTTCCTTTACAAAAAACTGTATAGAATGTGAAGCTACTCAGAAATGTTTTAAAGGAATAATGCCTCTAACTTCAGATTTAAGTGTCAGCAAAAATATGTATCTTTAATGTTATCATAGAACATCTCTGTTTAATATTAATTCCCTATAGACTCTATTCTAAAACTGCTTACATCATTCCCTTTGTAAGATTAGCTACTTATCAATGCAGCATATACTGATGTTATACTCCATATAGTGATAACATTAGAAGAGTCATAGAATGCTGTAATTAAACTACTTTTACTTATTATAGTACTCATATTTGTCTGTTGCCAGTATCATATGATGGTGTGAAAGAATATTTGTTAAGGTTTGGATTATAATATTGGCATGATTTATTGATGCAATATTATTTTATTACATTATCTATCATTTTAAAAGCATTTGTTTTCACTTTAGTCATTCAAAATTTTTTGGCCTTTCATAGTAATTGGACATCTATGTGTACTGTACCAAAGTAATAAGTAGTTTCAAAATGCACAATAAATTCAGAAAATGCATTGGCAAGTGAGTATGCAAAATATCAGCTACTGCTCCTAAAGTAATGTGCTGCTCTTTTGGAAATAAAGATAATTAAATTATCCTATAAAACTCATAACATGTGTTTTCATGTCAATAATAATTAAAACATTACATTAAAACTTTAGACTTAGCTTTTTACAGACTTGCTAGAATAATATTTACTTGAGACATGAAAATACATCTGTGCAGCTTGCTGTTGGTTTGGTCATGATGTTGGAAATTTATTTGTATTAACATATGCTATCTGAAGTGTAAAATGCAGCCACATGATTGGAATAATTAAAAGTACAAAATGTGGAAAGCACCCATTCTTAGCTTACTGAAATTTCATTTAAACATTCTTATGTGTGGCTCAGAATAATACTCTAGTAATATCAGCAATTCCTTGTATGAAAATATCAAAATATTTTCAATAGCGAAAATGCACGTTATGTAGTTTCTAATCTTGTGACCTCACCTGTAGTAGAGCAATTTGGCTTTATAGATTGTAGATAAGAATTTATTTTAGTATCACAGCACTGAATACATTCAAAATCTTTTGATATACATTTCCAACATACATTTCTAGTCAAAATTATAAAATTGAAAAAAAATAATGATGTGAGTTTTTTTTCCACAGAAATTGAATGCATCCAGTTCATCAGAAGGCAGCACAGTTGATATTGGACTACCTCCAGAAGGTGAACAGCCAGAAGCAGAACCTGAAGAAGTTTTAGAGCCAGAAGCTTGTTTTACAGAAGGTATGCAAAGCAAAATAAAGGCAAGATAAACAGACCTAGTTGTGTAGACTTGGGCAGGATTCTCTTCTTATTCAAAATCAGAAGTTTAGTGATTATAGTTATAATAGCTGTTAGTATTAGCATCTCTTACTCCCAGAGATTTACTGTTTTTGTGTGTTCTCTCTCTTTCTTTGGAAGGTATTGCAAAAGATATGAAGCTTTAAATTCAAATACTAAACAAAAATGCTCAAAGAGGAATTATAAGGATCTAATGCAGTACCACTATGATAAGAAATAAGTCAAATTATTACCATTCATTGTGATTCCTAATAAATATTTATTTTATTCTGACATCTTAACATTTATTATCACATTTAGGGTGTGTACGGAGATTCAAATGCTGTCAAGTCAGTGTAGAAGAAGGAAAGGGGAAAATCTGGTGGAATCTTAGGAAAACCTGCTATAAGATTGTTGAACACAACTGGTTTGAGACCTTCATAGTCTTCATGATTCTTCTCAGCAGCGGTGCTCTGGTAAATTAAGTGTGGAACTATTGTGACTATTGTGATTTTAAACAGCAAGCATTTAAAATTACTGTTAATCACATAGCTACAGGTAACAAATTAGAATTTGATATCCAAATAAAGTATGTTCTAATAGAAATATATATCTGCAAGTATTTGGCATTTATTGTAGGACATGTAAGAATTTGCTTGTGGACTGTGAAACAAATTGTTTGGCAAGTTCAAAATGTAGTGTTAATGGAAATAAGAAATTAGTTTTATCAGACTGGTGTTCACATGTCTTAATGTTGATGATAATAGCTTCTTTTTTTTTAATACACATTTAAATAAAAACACAGCTGAGCTGTGAACTTATCAGCAGCAATTCAAATTGTCAAACTAAGGAGGAAGGTGCCAACACAATTCTATCAGATATTTTACCAATTTGTGTTAAATCAGGTGGACTGAGTAGGTATTGAAGTAATTAGTTTCTCATAGCAGGGGCAGAATATAATATTCTTTCTACACTTGTCTCAATTCACAGTGGTTCACTGTCAATGTATACATTTTCTTTTGCTAAGAGAATAATCTCCATTTAGGATTCCTTTGTGAGTTAGTGTGCGTAGTTTGGTTTCAGTTATTCTTCAAAAATGCTGTATCACACAGTCATTTTTAAATGCCTCATATAGTTTTAGTATAAATTTGTAACTCCCACAAAGGAAATCCTAATGTCATTAGGCCCTTGCTATCTGTAGTGAGTTGATGCCAGGTACCCACCAAAGGTGCTCTGTAACTTCACACGTGGACAGCGGAGAGAAAATGTAATGAAGGGTTCATGGGTTGAGGTAAGGCTTGGGAGAGATCAGCCATCAAATACTGTAATGGGCAAAACAGACTTAGCCTAGGGCTATTAACTGAATTTATTGTTAACAAAATCAGAGCAGGATAATGAGAAGTAAAATAAATCTTAAAAACACCTTCGCCCCATCTCTCCCTCCTTCCCAGATCAACATCCTCCCCCAGCAGCACAGGTTGTCAGGAATGTGTGTTATGGTCAGCTCATCATACCTTGTTTCTGCCACTGCTCAGGGAGAGGAGTCCTTCCCCTGCTCCAGCATGGGGTACCTTCCATGGGAGACAGTTCTTTATGAACTTCTCTGATGTGAGTCCATCCCACAGGCAATAGTTCTCCAATGTGAGTCCCTATTCCATGGAGTACAGTCCTTCAAGCACAGCCTGATCCAGTCCTCCTGGTCCTACAGGTCCTACTGGGCTATCTGCTCCAGCATGGGCTCCTCTCTCCATGGTCTCCAGGAGCCTGCTCCAGCATGGGTTTCCCACAGGTTCACAGCCCTTTCTTGGGCATACCCCTGCTCCATGGTGGGGCTCTTCCAGGGGCTGCAGGTGGATCTCTGCATCTCTGTGGATCTCCATGGGCTGCAGGGGCACAGCTGCTTCACCATGATCTGCACCATGGGCCGCAGGGCAATCTCAGCTCCAGTGCTGAGATTCCCCTCAGCACTGCCCCTCCTTCTCCACTGACCCTGATATCTGTAGAACTGTTTCTCTCATATATTCTCACTCCACTTTTTCTGCCTGAAATTCTGCCTGTGCAATACTTTTTTATTCCCGTCTTAAAAATATTGTCACAGAGGTGTTACTATCATTCCTGATTGGCTTGGTCTTGGCCAATGGTGGGTCTGTCCTGGAGCCACCTGGCATCAGCTCTGCTGGACATGGAGGAAACTTCTAGGAGCTCCCCACAGATGCCACCCCTCTAGCTCCTTCCACCAAAACCTGGCCACACAAACATGGAGAGAAATTAAAATGAACTTTGAAGAGTGGTCTTACAGTAAGTTTTGCATATTGCTGTTCAGCTCAGCTGAAAGATTAATACTTTTTGGACCCAGCTTTATGAAAAGTATTAAGTGAAAGCCAAAGTTATACTTGAGGGAAAGGTACGTGCTTTATCATCATGTATATTTTTTCAGTTCAAAATCTTTTCCTGGTCATTCCTATATGACACTGCAAATTGTGAAGACATTTAATTATATCTTCAAAAATCTTTTTCACAGGCATTTGAAGATATCTACATAGAGCAACGTAAAACTATCAAGACCATGCTGGAATATGCTGACAAAGTTTTCACCTATATCTTCATCCTGGAAATGCTTTTAAAATGGGTTGCTTATGGCTTTCAAACCTATTTCACTAATGCATGGTGCTGGCTGGATTTCCTGATTGTTGATGTATGTATTCTTTTTCATGTCCTGTACGACAGGCTTCAAAAAAGAGAATATTATGTTTTCAGGATAAGATTTCTGTTCTAGTCAACAAAAACTCTCTTTTAACTGCTGGGGTGGTATGGTTTATAATTCTGTTCAGAATGGAAAAAAAATTGGATATACTTATTTCTCTAGAGATATTTTTTAAAATTCTCTAGGTTTATGAAGTTGGAATTCTTTCTTGAAATTATGCTTTTTACTATCTTTTTTTTGGTGGTATAGAAAGGTGCTCTTCATCCTTTTCAGGGTTTTTTGTATATGGAAGCAATTTCTCAAACTGTTTCTAATATTCTAATGAATTACTGTAAGTGTCCTGTCACTTACTCTGTGCAATATGAAAGAAAAATACTGCTAGGAATTGTCAGTTCCACTGTACTATTCAGTACCCTTGCACTTTTCACTGTATCATGGGGGTGACTTCAAAGAGACAGTTCAGAGAACCATAGATGAGCCCCCTTAGAATGGGTTCCCACATGATTTTCCAAATGCTGCACTACCAAGGAGCAGATACAACTTGTCTGAAGGAGACCTAGTGAGAAGTGCATTGTAATTTCAGGTCTACATGCTCAGCAATGTATGTAAAGTGCTGGGTAGCATAAATGAAGACTGCAGCTCTTTGACTATATAGCAGATGTTCCCTTCCATCCCCAATATCCTGACTTATCTCTCAGTTCCACAGATGTAATTCCCATGGAATGCAAGTTAAGGGTATGTCTTAAATCACCTATTTGTGCATTATGAAAGCACCAGAATTCTATAGAAATTGCTAAATATCTCCCTAAAGCTACAGGGGAGGTCTTTACTACACAGAGCTTGGAAAATACTATACTTTGTAAATCCAGACTAGAATTGCAAATCCTATTATAAGACATGACTATATGCTCATATAATATTTTATGATTGAGTCTGTACCTCTGTAAAACATGTATTGGCTCAATCATCCAATGTGTAAATTGCCATGCCCAGTAGAACTTGTATTTGTCAACAAATATTTAATTCTTATTTGGTAATCTGTGGTTTAGTTACTTCTGTGACCCTTATAAATAGCTTTATTCATTTTTCATGTCAATCTTACCTTGGTGCATTTTTTTAATTAAAAAAATTAATAGCTGAAGCATTATTTTTATCTGTAGTCAGTGGATTGAAATAAAAAAGCAAAAAGATCCATTTGTAGATGAAGGAATTGAGAGAGCAGAAAGGATGGAAGGGAAGGTCATTCAATGGATATAAATAGGTGATATTTTTGATTTATTAGGGCCACTTCTTCCCAATGGCTATTAGAAATACATTTCCAAGGATTATTGATGAAAGATAATTGTATTATTTATTTTACAGCTATTCTAGTTTATTTACTCATCTGCCTGCAGACCAGACCAGCGTAATGCAAGCCAGAATTGATGAAGTGGTTAAAGGAGTCACAGGGAATGTAATGAAGTGTGGATATGCCTAACAGTGAAGCTTCTACCATTGTCTAACAAACAGTTGGTTCTCAGTCTTGATTAGTCCGGTTAAATCTGAACAGCACTGGTAGCTATGGCTGTTGAATAAGATTTTCTGGACACTAGAAAGTTACATTTGACCAAAAGCAAGGTCTGGATGTGGTTTTTGAGAGCGTTTACATTCTCATCAAGTTCTGAAGATATCATGGGAAGTCCTGACCTAAATTGTCCATTCCAATTCACCCAGCTTTTGGGTGTTTTGTTTTCGTATGTGACTTCATTTTTGTTTAAATCCCACCAAATGTTGACTGGTTTATGTGGCTATAGAAGGCACTTTTATACCATTCTATCAACATGATTTCATCAACAGGTACCTAGAATATTCTTTTATTCTACTTTGTCTGACATAAAAATTTTTCTACATTATAGAGGGTTTCCTGGAGAAAGAGGTCCAGCCTTGAATCTTCTTGAGAAGTTCAGGGCACGCATCATTCCCACCATATATATTGGAAGGATATAAAGATGAATGAGCAATATTGCCTTTCTGTTTTTGTGTAGGTCTCTTTGGTTAGCTTAACAGCTAATGCCTTGGGCTACTCAGAACTTGGTGCGATTAAATCCCTTAGGACACTAAGAGCTTTGAGACCTCTAAGAGCCTTGTCGCGATTTGAAGGGATGAGGGTAAGACAATGTGAAAGAATCTGAAATAATGCATGCATCCACGGAAACAATGCATGCGGAATAATCAACAACCAATCCATGCAGAAATGCTACACTACCATCCTATATAATGCACATTTATCACTAACATATAAGCAGAAGGCTTCATCTGCTTATATGAATTCATGTGTTATTGCACATATTGTTACACTTAATGAGGCTCCTTGGCCTTTCCCCATTTCCATATTTTCCATATGGAGGGCCCAAGGATTTATCAACTGCATGGATCTATACAGTATTACTTAGAATTTATCCTATACAAACATATCCTACTATAGTCAGAACAGTTTAAAAAAGCTCCAATACTTCCTCTTAAAACTGTGTGCACATGCATCCATGTATACACGCACATGTGTATTTTGTACCAGTTTAGACTATCATACATAGTCTAGATCTTTTAACATAGCATTCTGTATATATAAATTGGGAATGTCTTTTAGAACTATAAGTTTTGTCATTAATTTGTATGTTAATAAGTAAATTAGCACTATTAAATTACCTTCTCTCTTTTGTATTAGAACCATTGCAATCTGTTTAAGAAAATTTTCTAGCATATCAGAGATGGAGCTGGTTTTATGATTTCTGGTTGCTTACTGCTTTCCATATTGATTGTAAAATGTTGATTATAATCTATAGAGCACTAAGCAGCCTGAAAACATATTAGACTTTTGCTGGTATATTTGAATACTGTCCCCAGCTATTTGTTATCATTGTATCAGTTCCCACAGCTGACACCCTCAGCTGCCCAACAGGGCACATGCAGGCTGTCCTAGTGCAAAGTCACAGTGGTTAGTTTATATCACTTCTTTAGTGTACTGAAAGGGACAAAGACCTGATGTACTCAGCCATGACTCAAAAGCTCTAGAAATGTTTCTCTCAGGGGTAGTAGTGGCCAAACATACATGGTGGATATTTCTGGCTCCAGCCACCGGAAGATGCCTGGCTTACACCTTCAGGGTCCATCTGTCTCTCTTGGACATACTGCCATAGTGGGCATCAGCAGAGGCACCTGAGCTGGAACCCTACTGCCATAGTTAAAAGGGATCCTTGGGTGGGCTCCCTCCTGCAAGTGCTGTTCTCAGGTGATAATCTGACTAGCTAATTTGTAAATCAGCTACAAACTGGGGAGCTTCTGAAGAAAATGTCATGCTGTCTATGTGTGGAAAGTAAGAGAAGAGACTTAAATGAAAAAGGAAATGGGCTTTGATGAAATGTTATAAATTCAAACAGGAAATAGCATTTCTTTGCCTCCAAAAAATGTCTGTATTTTGCTAAAGCAAATTTGAAAATTTGGGATATTTATATCAGAGGTAAGGCCTGTCTAAAGCATCAGTATTATCTCAGTAGAATAATATTAACTGTTGGGGTTTCTTTTATGACAACGACTAGCAAAACAAAAAGCCCAAAATAAAAATATTTCAAATTTTATATAAAATCACTTAAGTGGCAACTTATTGTTGCAAGGAAAAGCCCCAATAACCTTGGCATGAAGATTTATAGGTAATTGTCAATCCCATGGCTTTCATGTTGCTGTAAACTTTACCTACAGATTTAATCCTGATCTGCCAACTGTATCTCTTTGTACAATATCCAGATGAGGAGAAGATTTATGAGTTTAGCAAAAAATGCAATAAAAATTAGTAGATGAAGTTAGATTACTTAAGACTAGAAATGTGACCTATAACTTCATTAGTTAGGCAATTAGCCATTGAAATATTCCAATGGATGTAATTAATTTTGCCTTATTTAATTAATTTCAAGTTTAGTGTCTTTAAAGATACAGTAGCTCAAGTTGATGAACAGATTAGGATGAGAACATTTTAATGTCTGATACATGGAAATTCAAGATGTCTGTTCATAACATAATAATTCCATTGGTGTTTATCATGTATGAACTGAAAATATGACAACACAGTACACAGCATATATTTGCATAGACACTTAAATTTCTTTCACTGAGTATTATATATTATACTTCCCGTATACAAGCAGGAAGTTCCATTCAATGCATACACAATTTTTAACACACTGTGCTATTCTCTAGGATTTCAATTTGTGCCCATGCAATCTAGTAATTAATAGAAAAACTTGCCCCTATGAAAAACATTTTTTTCCCCCGCATCTTCCCACCACTGTTATTGCTAGGAAAGTTGCCCTTTAATTTGCACTTGGTACTTCATTAAAATGGCCTGTGGGAATATAATTAATCTGTCCACGCTCTGTCCCAAGCAGTACCACTCACTGCTATATGGTGCTTTTTCTTTCAACTAGAAAACAAGGGGTTTGATGTCTTTCTTATGCTTCCCCCGCTTTCATTTGCTGTCAGGTTTAGCCCCCTTTTCTCACAGACCTACAAACTACTAGTGGAAGCTGGAAGGTGTCGGGATCAGTGCTTCTACTGATGCTTAACCCCACGTTTTGAGTGTCTTCAAATGATTCTTATCACAAGCTGGTTCTCTATAGCTTCAGGACTCAGACTAATACCAGAGAAAGTAGGTCAGCTGTAGAAATCCAGCAATTAAAGAAAGAACATGACTGGACCTGCAGCTGCAGCACAAAGAGCAACAGAATTCTTGGGTGTACTGAGACTGAAAGCTCGAGGACAAATATTTTCACTTCATTAACTATCCCTTTATATCTCAAGAATTGTTCCTGATGGATGATATTATTAGATTTAAGAAATCTACTTATATTTTTGAGTGTAAGAATCAAGATAACTTTTAATTAAAAAAAACCCAACTAATATATTTGGAAAATATTCCCAAATTGGGAAATAATTACCTTGCCATTTATTATTCCAGTCAAATTGCTGTAAAAATGAGTGAGTACATGATCTTCCAATTTAAAGTAATTCAGTATAGTTATTAGACTGTTCATTTGCTTATGTCAAACAATATCTTATGGCCTCCTACAGTCATGTGGTTCACAGTGCTGAGTACAAGCTTGTCAACATAAGAAAGCACTGTTGAAATAGTCAGAGGATATTTATCCATCAGTTGGGGAATCCTCTCAACCCAGATGCTGACTTATAAAATTGTATATTACTTTTGCTTATTAATTTATAACAGGCATTGCTAAGGAGATTTTTAGCGTGATTAAGAAACTATTCTCATTTATTTTAAATTTCCCCACTAGAAACAACCACTTATTAAAGCATTTGATTTACAATATGTGGAAAAAAGGTACAAACAAACAAACAAACAAACAAAGAATATTTGGACTTCATGCACCGTTCTGTGCTTTTATAGAGTCATTGTGTAGTTTACATCAAAAGCAACTTCATTTGATCCAGTTCCTAAATTTAAATATAACAACAATTTCACTGAAGTCCAAAGTATGTATTACCCAAAAGAGGTAGTGTTTTGACAGGAACGGGGCCCTGAAAGTACAACAGGAATCTCTCCTTTCCTTCAGTCCAACTCTCCTTTATAGTACACATGATGGTGGTTCATCACCTGTCTGATATTCAAAGGGTTTTTTTTCTGTTCTGTAAAAGGGCAAGGAATGAAAGTCCATCTACCTGGATCACTAACTTTATAATTCATTGATTCTATGGATGGCATTAGTTGCAAATGTAATTTAGTAATGCGAAAATACTTCATAGAACTTCGCTACATATTTGTATTTCAAACAGAAACAATAAGTTTAGTATGCCCTAGTACTTGCATCATATAAGCTAAATGGAGCATAAAAAAGCCCATCAAAGCAATAGCTAGTGTTTTGCATTAAAAAAAGAGCAAACTTTAAGTTTTAAGGATTTGCTTCAGTTGTTTTGGTAAAGTTGGAGGCAGTGCTCTATACTTAACAAATTTTATATTCTTAGAGTTGTTCCGTAAATATTCCTATTTACAGAGAGACTTAAAATAGGAATTAATTTAGCATCATCAATTCCACCATTAAATTAATAATTCTCATTCATAATGGACCTACTTTCTCCCAAATTTTATTTTCCTCAGTGTTTTATTTTCATTCTGGCATGTTTTTAATCATTGCTCATCTTCATACATTAACTAATTTTCACATTTTTCTTTCCTGAAGCCTGATTTTTCCCAAAGTTCAGTTGGGAATTAAATCAAGTATATTTGTCAAGTTTTATCTGCCAGTTGCCTGAACACTAACAGCTCTGGTGTGTTCAGATACTCAGTAGCTTTCCTGGTTTCAACATTTCTACTTTTCTAATTCTAAATGTAAACATCCAAAAGAATCATACATCACTTGGTTTTATTTTCAAAAATACTTAAAGTTAATTTCAATTAGAAATTTGCTTAGTAATAGATTTGAACTTGCTTGGATTTATCCAGTAAACATGTAGTATTAAAAATTTGGTTTGTTTGATTCAATCAGTGATTGTAATTATTATGGTTTTGCAGATATACATTAAGTAAATATTCTACAATAAACTAATAAATACTTATTTTTCCTCTTTTTTTTTAAGTTTTTTTTACTAGTTCTTATTTTACCCATTCTTTAAAGCTACTATTTGCTACTATTTGTATTTTCCTTCTAATTAAGTTTGGTATTTTATGTTTTCTCTATACTGCTTTTCTGACTTGTTACTCTCAACAATTGAAGTGTAACACAGATATTAGAATTATAATAGCATGTTACATGTGAGAGAGGCTGATGAAGCATTTCTGAGATCCTGGTGCCTGTGTTCTTACAGTGTCTCTGGTTTCATTTGTACTCCAGGTTGTGGTGAATGCCCTGTTAGGAGCAATTCCATCTATAATGAATGTGCTTCTTGTTTGCCTTATATTCTGGCTGATATTTAGTATCATGGGAGTAAATCTATTTGCTGGAAAGTTTTACTACTGTGTTAACACCACAACTGATGAGAGATTCGATATCAGCCAAATTAACAACTTCAGTCAATGTGAGGAGCTCATACAAAACAATGAAACTGCCCGGTGGAAGAATGTGAAGGTTAACTTTGACAATGTAGGCCTTGGTTACCTTTCTCTGCTCCAAGTGGTAAGTCATCACTTAATTAAGTCCTTAATTTCTATTTGTCTTTTTATATCTCTGTTGTTTACTTATAACAGTAAAATGTTTTTTCGTTACTTTTTTTTTTCATTTAGAAATTTTGTCTCTCAATTCTTGGCTTGAATTATGCAGTGTGGGATAAATCCATAATACTACAGGAGTAACACAAAGCCTAGAGGATATACTGACTATGAGAAAAAAAATGTAATTCAAACCTAATACACCTTAGCTGCATTGAACCTGTATCAAGTAAAGCTCTAATGTTTGTGCACAGAAAAAATAACTTTTATATTAGATATTATTAATAATAGACAAAAGTTCTTAATGGATGCTGTCTCCTCTATAGTCAGATATTAGAATTGGCTTGCAATTCTTGTACATGAATAAAATATACAATAGAAGGTAAGAGTCAGCTATTAGGTTTTTCACTCTGCTGGTTTTCATGATGAGTACTAAAGGCACTTAGTCTTCACTCCTAAAAAATGCTTCTGACAAGCCATTTTCCAGGTACAGTGTGACCTAAACACCTGTGTTCTGATTATAGGCGACATTTAAAGGATGGATGGATATCATGTATGCAGCTGTGGATTCTCGTAATGTAAGTATGGTCCCTTGAATCCATTTGTTTTGATTGTATGAGCTCCACGATTGGAGAATGTAATTTTAACATCTTTCAGAAATTACAGTAAAAATTAAAGAACAAAGTATTATTATAATTTCGTAGTTAAAGAAAATTGAAACCATGGGAAAAATACAAGAAATGAGGAAAGCAGAGGAGCAGTCCTAAAGGATTCCATTTTCTCTATGGTACATTTGAATCAAAATTCCTCAATCCTACAACACACCTATTGCAATGAAATACCTTTTCCTCCTTTCATTATGCATTGAGCCTTTCTTTATATTTGAAAACAGACACCAATACAGAGAAGGATTTTTTTTTTTTTTTTTAATACTGATCTTATTTATAGTTAAGACTTCCATTGTGCTCTGCAAGCTGCCTGACTGCTTTCTTTAGGGCAGAGTGCTAATTTTTAATTAGACCTGTGCATTTTCTTACTTTCTTACTCTTTGGCCTGCCCCTTGTTCACTTGATACAAATTTTCCTCTAGTTCTAAGTAGACAATTGAATAAACTATACTGGTAAAGCTCTTTTTTTTTTTTTTTTTTTTTTTTTTTTTTTTTTTTTTTTTTTTTTTTTTTTTTTTTTTTTTTTTTTTTTTTTTTTTTTTTGTAAGCTGCACTCACAGCAGGAGGCCTGTTGTAGTATAGTGACAATGCATAGATAGCTATAGCCAGAAAATATGCTTAGTCTAAACATGGCTTGGATGCCTCTCTTCCACAATCCTGTGCAGTTTCCTAAGTGCCTGTAGCAGTGAAATCTCCACAAGCACACAACACTGGCCTCCCACAAGATTTACGGAAAATTCTGCAGATGTAAAACTTGTTGTTTCTGGTTGTCTGTACTTTGCTAGTTTAAAACAAATGTGTTTTCAGTATTTACTCTACATTTGTACAGGCCAGTTGCATTTTTAAAAAGGAAATATCAGGTTTGATAACAAAATCCTTTTTCAAGAATATAATTTCTTGTAGATTGAAGATCACTGGAATATATGTCAGGATTTGACCATAGGAACCAAAGGTTACAGTGATAGAGCCCTAAATTTTATCTAGCAGATATTTTGTGTTCACTGTTAAACTAATGTGTCATTTCTATGCCTTTTTTCAGGTTTTGGATCAGCCAAAGTATGAAGATAACCTGTACATGTATCTTTACTTTGTCATCTTTATCATCTTTGGATCATTTTTTACCTTGAACCTTTTTATTGGTGTCATCATAGACAATTTCAACCAGCAGAAAAAGAAGATAAGTACTTCATTGTTATTCTGAGAAAGACAGAAAAAATTCTTATTTTTGGTTCACTGATGACAACTTCATACATAAAATTTTTCTATGATAAATTAGTTAAGAGTGCTGTGTGGTAAATACAATAAATTACTAAAGTGTATAATTTGGCTTGATGAGGGTTTGATGGACAAGTGGCAATCTGTGACTCTCCATGCTTAGTGAAATACTCAATGTCATCTTTGTAAAGATATGGATTTGAGACTGAAGCCTTAATTGACTCATAAAAAGGCTAACCATTGAAATAACTAAATGTAGCTATAAAAACTCTTTGCTATACTACCTTCATGTCACAGAGCTCAGCAGTATAGATTTCTAAACATCGATAATAAATATTGTATTATCTTTATTCGTACCCTCTTTAGTCTTTGTGTTTTGTCAACACTGTCTGAAAAGGTGTCAGTGTTCCAGCTACCAAACTCAACACTTTCTGCAGCTTAATACTTAATATAAAAATCATAAAAGAGAATTTTTGTCTGTCCTAAATTTTCCCACAGATGAGAATGTGAACAAAAGTGATCATTAGTATTATTTATAAGTAATCAATAAAGATACATGATTGTAACCAGTTTTTTCCTCTTGGATTTACTTTGGAGGTCAAGACATTTTTATGACAGAAGAACAGAAGAAATACTACAATGCAATGAAAAAATTGGGTTCAAAGAAACCACAAAAGCCTATACCTCGACCAGCAGTAAGAATAAAAATATTTTCTGTTATTTTTACATCTATTTAAAAATTGGACTTTTTCTATTATGCCTTAGGCTAAAATAAGTCATAACCAAAAAAAAATGCATGATATAAGAAAAGCCTTATTAATCTGAAATACCATTTTTTCTTTTTTTCTGTTACAACAGAACAAATTTCAAGGCATGGTCTTTGATTTTGTAACAAAACAAGCATTTGATATCAGTATCATGATACTTATCTGCCTTAACATGGTCACAATGATGGTAGAAACAGATGATCAGAGTGAAGACATGGAAAACATTTTATATTGGATTAACCTGGTGTTTATTGTCCTTTTCACTGGAGAATTTGTCCTGAAATTGATTTCACTTCGTCATTACTACTTTACTATAGGTTGGAATATTTTTGATTTTGTGGTTGTCATTCTCTCCATAGTAGGTAAGAGCAACTCATTTTTATGAAATGTCTAATTCTGTGAACATTGAAATATTTTTGGCATGTAAAATCTATTTATATTTTGGTTCAACTTTGTCACTAGAAAGTCTTATACACAAGATAACTGAAAAGTATGGTAAGAATTTTTTAACAAGATGTTTCATACACTCCTACTTTATACTTATTAAAATTACATCTATATTATGAAATCAGCAGAGATTCCTACACATACATGAAAGGCAATTTTGATACAAACTTACAGTGACTGTTGTGGGTGAGAGTCATCCAAAATCCAAGAGCAAAATCTGTGTGGGACTATTATGAGGGTAGATGCATGCACCCCAGACAGCAGGGTGCATGCTGTAAAAAACAAAAAGCAAAAAACCCTTTGCTTACTTCAGTTTTGTTTGATCCTGAGAGGCTTTGTGCCTGAGCTAGAGTGAGCACTGCAGAAGCAGAGCTGAAGCAGATGTAGTAACAAATAATGACTACACTAATCTTTGCTTTATCTAAAGCAGCAAATTTGAAAGAACTTGAATAAAAATTGTGGGCTTTTAACTTTTAAGTACTCCTTAATATGCAAATAAATTTTGCTATTTTTGTATCAAAAAAGTTTTTTTTTTTTTTGCTTAGAGGCACATAATACAATGCTCAATTCTTTTATTCTTCTGTGAATTATAACAAACTTTTTAATCAATTTATGTTTGGAATTTCTGTGTCATTAGTAATAAATGTGTTCATGTTATTTTATGTGTGATTAAGAAGTAGCAGTTCTCTTAAACTATAACTTTTTTTTAAATAACCTAACTTTACTACATGGAATTTTAATACTACTGTGCATATGATCTTTCTTCAGATTAACTGAGATTATTTTTGTTACAATTAAACAAAAGGGTTTTCCTTGAAGCTCAGCATTTGCTAATATACATACACTAGTTATCAGCTTGTCCTAAAAAAGTATACCTAACACAGAGGTTTTGTAAAAAAAACTGAACGGCTAATTCCTAAAAATCTGCCCAAGTATCCTACTCTTCTTAAAGTTCAATCCTTGTGGAGTATATCTTTAGCAATGGTTTTAAAATGTAATAATACTCTTTACTGATTTAACTTGGGTTTTTTTTTCCTAGGTATGTTTTTGGCTGAGATGATCGAGAAGTACTTTGTATCTCCCACACTATTCAGAGTCATCCGGCTTGCCAGAATCGGTCGAATCCTGCGCCTCATTAAAGGCGCTAAGGGAATCCGCACTCTGCTCTTCGCTTTGATGATGTCTCTTCCTGCTCTGTTCAACATTGGGCTGCTGCTCTTCCTGGTCATGTTCATCTATGCGATATTTGGCATGTCCAACTTTGCCTACGTCAAGAGGGAAGCTGGGATTGATGACATGTTCAACTTTGAAACCTTTGGCAACAGCATGATCTGCCTATTTCAGATCACCACCTCCGCTGGCTGGGACGGTTTGCTCGCCCCAATTCTCAACAGTGGGGAGCCAGACTGTGACCCCAACAAAGATCATCCAGGAAGCTCTGTGAAAGGTGACTGTGGCAACCCTTCTGTTGGGATTTTCTTCTTTGTCAGCTACATTATCATATCCTTCCTGGTAGTGGTGAACATGTACATTGCTGTGATTTTGGAGAACTTCAGTGTTGCTACTGAAGAAAGCGCCGAACCCTTGAGCGAGGATGACTTTGAGATGTTCTATGAAGTCTGGGAGAAGTTTGATCCCGATGCAACACAATTCATAGAATACAGTAAATTATCAGATTTTGCAGCTTCATTAGATCCACCTCTTCTCATAGCAAAACCAAACAAAGTCCAGCTGATTGCAATGGATCTGCCCATGGTGAGCGGTGACAGAATTCACTGCCTTGACATCTTGTTTGCTTTCACAAAGCGTGTTTTGGGGGAAAGTGGGGAGATGGACGCCCTCAGAATACAGATGGAAGATCGGTTTATGGCAGCCAATCCTTCCAAAGTCTCCTATGAACCAATTACAACCACACTGAAACGAAAGCAGGAGGAAGTGTCTGCTGTCATCATTCAGCGTGCTTACAGACGTCACCTCTTAAGGCAAAAAGTCAAAAAAGTATCATGTATATTTAGTCAGGATAAAGGTAAAGAGGAAGATGATCTGCCCATGAAAGAAGATATGATTATGGAAAAACTAAATGAGAACTCCACTCCAGAAAAAACAGATATGACCCCATCCACAACCTCCCCACCTTCTTATGACAGTGTAACAAAGCCAGACAAGGATAAATATGAAAAAGACAAGTCAGAAAAAGAAGATAAAGGTAAAGACAGCAGGGAAAGTAAAAAGTAATATAGAACACTGTTTGTAATAAACTGTTTACAGCCTGAAAAAGTATGTTTTTGTGTCAACAGGACTCCTGTAGGAGGTACATGCCAAACTGTCAGTTTTTACATATATAGATATATATATGATTATATATATATATATATATATATATAAGGTCAGTGCCTATAGCAAGACAGTGACCCCTCGTCATCAAACTGCAACTCTGTAAAACAGGGTAACATCTTGACAGGAGGTTGTTGTTTTTAGTACCAGCTGATACTGCTGAAGAGATGATAAAATGGCCAACCAGACTGTAGGGACCAGTTGAAAAAAAAAAGGTGCAAACCTATGAATCTATGTGTTTAACATGAAACACACACTACAGAAATTGTATCCACTGTTAGCATTTCAACAGTCACATTTGCCATATTTTTACAAAGATCAGTGTTGGTGAACTTATCATTTTTTAATTCACAGGTTGTTTACTATTATATGTGACTATTTTTGTAAATGGGTTTTATGTTGGGGAAGGGGGTATGAGGACCAGGTGTTCTACTCTCGGATTCTCTATAATGTACAAACAGAAGTGATTTGCATGAAGGCATGCTGCACTTGTAGTTCATGCATGGGAAAACATGACGTCGCACAAAGCAGCAGTCTGACTACTTCCATGTTTCAGGGTGGCTCTGTATGTTGAGGTGCTTAATAACAGTATCCATCTAGTATCTCATCCAGACAAATCTTAATGTGCCTGTAAAGTCCCATAGAGTCTACAATAATAGAACAGATGTTTATTTTTTCATAAGTCATTTAACAGTAGTTGAACAATCTCTGCATAAAAATTTTACTGAGGGACATAGCGTCCACTTCTAAGTATTCTTCTGCGAAAAACAGTTTACCTGACCTTGGGAAATTGAGTTTACCAAAAACGTGCAAAACATAAGGATTATGAAGTTGTTCTGCTTCACCCTGCAGTATCATTTAGCCATCTTCTGCTCTCAGCAAGGTTGACATTGTATGTGTTGATTAAAAAAGTACCCTCTATGTAAATAGTTATTTTATCCCGTGGTGCATGTTTGAGCAAACAAATAATGACGTGCACAATATTTATTGCATCAAATATGTACCACAGTAAGTGTAATTTGCAATCTCTCAACAGCTAATATGAAGTATTCTGTACCATTATAGACAGTTTGGAAGCTATCACTGATGCATGTTTATCTTGCCTTTGCTGCTGTAATTTTACTCCTTCCACTGTTAAGAGTCTAATATGGGAAGCCATAACTCAGTGGTCAAGTGAAATAAATTGTTCAATTGGTCATCATTCTTCCACGACATCAAGCAATAGTTTGCAGTTATTTAAGAGCTTCTTGCTTTGCATTCTAAAATTTTAGGTGACTACTGTACGGTGCATAATCAGACTGTACAGGATATGTTGCAAACTGCTTAATCTGTTGAAAACTACATGGATAGAATTTTCTAAGAAAATATAAATACTGTAAAAAATACCATTTTATTTTATTTTTCAGCATTTTGTACATAAACTAAGAAATGAGAATTATCTTCAGGTTGATGTTACTGTCACTTTTATTACTTTCTATCCATAGCACTTTTTAATTCAAGAACTTCACAAAATAAGAAACAAAGGAAAGAAAGGGGTAGCTTTAGGTTTCTGCTTTTTTATTAGTACTGTATTTTTGCACACATTTTAATGTGAAATAAGTTTCAAACTGAGTCCAAAATGCACTTGCTTCCAAATAGATATAACTTGTAATTGAAATGTGGTGAGGAGGATTTGTTTAAGATTCTAGCACTGCCTGCATCAGAAGTTTCAAGGTAGTCTTTTTATTCATGAAATCTTTACCAGTGTTTGTTTACATAGACTATTCTAATTCTTGTTGATTCATGCTGCACTAGAACTGTTCTAAATATAATATGGGATCCACAATGTTTTTTTTTTTTTTCCACAGGAATTAAATAGCAAACTTGTATAATTGATCACATCAGGACATTTTGTGTTTCTTACACAAGCAAAAATTCGATGTTGACTCCTCCTTTTACAAAAATATTGACATGTGTGTCAGTGAACTGCATGCAGGAAAATGCTATTACCATAAAGAACAGTAAACCACATTACAGTTGAGCCAAAAGAATAAAGACTTCATTTTTTATTGTATTTAATGGTTTTGTCTGTGTTTTTTATTTTCCCACTAAAAACGATTGGATATCAACAGTTGGTGCTATGCATATCATCAGGTGCTATGAAAGTAAAATATAAATATATATAAAGTGTTAGATTTGTGAAAAGTAAAAAAAAAAAATTGAAGCTGTATGCTTTCTGAAAGATCATAAACATCATTTGAATTTACACTCTTGAGGTTATTAATCCTATTCAGGATTCTAGTAGGATAACAGCTAAGACCTCATGATGCTTCAATCCCTTTTCATATCAGGTATGGTGAGACAACTAAAAAACCAGATATTAAAGAAAATCTCCAGCTAACAAGGCTGAAATGTATATATCTTTTCAATTATATTTTATATTTGAAGTGTAAAATTATCTTTGTGTTATAAAGAAAAAAACCTCATTATTTTCTAAGTATAATTTATTATTTTATGATAAGACATGAGAGCTAAATTTTTAGGTCGCAATCATATTTGAGTGCTATTTCTAAGAAGAACTTTTTCCTGTCTTAAAGTAAGGCCATGAAGGTTACACTGAACAAATTAAAAGCACAAACTCAATCATCATAGATGTACCGATATGCACTGTACATCAGATGCTCTGAAGAGTATTGGGGAAACCAGATGTACCCAGGAATCTGTATGATGTGGAACTCCGAGCTTTGGGTGTGCACCCCAGGAGAAACACTTGCAAATGGAGCAATAAGATGGTGCGTGCCTTTTGTACCTTCTCTCCACAATTTTCAATCACTGATGGTCTGTTGAGGTTGTTCATTCTAAAAATGAGTGTTGCTACTCTTGTGTAGTGAGCACTTAGGCTGCAGTGTTTCAGTTAGATTTTTCACCTCAGCTGTAGAAAAACAATTGTCAGGGCAGGATATAAATAGGGAGAGATGAGATAACCCCAAATCCAAAAAATACAAATCCAAAAGGTGTAATTAAAGGACACGTTTCACGTTGGTTTGGTTGGTTTTGCAGGGGGAAAGGTCTTGAAAAAATTGCAGGAACATAAGTAATGTATTTGTCTGACTTAGACTGAAAATATTCAATATGTGTCTGAGAGGAGTTTGCGCTTATCAGAAGACTAGCACAGAGGGAAATTATCAAACACCTCAAAAAACAAGCAGCTGTGGGTACCTTTTTCTTTTTTTCTTTTTTTGCTTGGGTACCCCTCCCTTTGTTGCTTGTTTTGTAAACAAATCTGTGGCTGTACTGGAGACACCTGCGACAGACACACGGGACGCGGGCGCTGCCCGGGCGCATCTCCACAGCGTCCCCGCAGCATCCCCGCAGCATCCCCGCAGCATCCCCACAGCATCCCCACAGCATCCCCGCAGCATCCCCACAGCATCCCCACAGCATCCCCGCAGCATCCCCACGGCATCCCCGCGGCATCCCCGCAGCATCCCCGCAGCATCCCCGCAGCATCCCCGCAGCATCCCCGCAGCATCCCCGCTGCCGTGCGCCGCTCGCGGCTGCCCCGGCCCCGCCCGGGCGGCGCGGGGAGGGCGGAGCGGCCGCGGGAGCCGCCCGGGGCCCGCCCGGGGCCCGCCCGGCCCGGCGCTGGCGGCGCCCTGGCCGCGCTCTGCCGGCGGTGCGGGCGGGGGCCCGGCGGTGCGGGCGGCGGCGGGCGGGCCCGTGAGGCGCCGGGCGGGCCCGTGAGGCGCCGGGCGGGCCCGGGCGGCGGCGGGCAGCGCTGGCTGCCGGGGCTCAGGTGGGCAGCCGCAGGCGCAGTGCGTGCTTGCGAGCGCAGAGGCGGCGCAGCAGCGCGGCGCGCCTGCTGCCCGCCCAGGCGCTGCGAGATCCGGCCGAGGAGGGCGAACCCCGCTGGCATCTGCGTTTGGAGGCACCCAGAGAGCGGCTGTCCCCACGGCGGAGACGTTCTGGAGCCTCGCCCGTAAGACCGCCCGTCTCTCCTGGCGTTTGGGACGCCCGAGGCGTGAAGGGATGCGAGGTGAGGTGGCCCGCGGCACCCCCTGAGGGCTCCGTGGGGTTTGGCCGGCGCTCGGTGCTGCCGCCGGCCCAGCACTTTTCCCCAGCGGCACCGTCGGCCCCGAGCCCCTCGGTGCGCTGCGGGTCTGCCGCGCCGCGCTGCCCCAGCCGGCCCCGGCGCAGCGGAACCGATGGCAAACGTCTCGGAGGATTTCTGTGCGGTCTGTGGTTCTGGAGAGATCCCGTGGTGCTGCAAGACTCTGCTAGTCCTGTGTGAGAAACTGTTCTATATCCCTTCAGCGCAGCAAGCATAGCAGCAATGAGTTACCTCCAGTTTGTTCTTTGTCTAAAACATCTTCTGGTCTAAGACAGGCAGACAAACAGTTGTGAGAGGCTGACCCAGGCTAGTAGAGCTAAATAATGAACAGATTGCTTCAGGCTGCAAAACATGCTGGATTTCCCATGTTCTTTCACACTTAATGGGTAATTATACCCACCATATAGTGCAGTGTTCTGAATGAGGATATGTTTTACTGGGGAAAGATTGCTAACAAAAGTCTGCCACAAAAGATTTCACATCCACATTAGTCACCCTGACTTTATCAGTGTGCAGATTGGAGACTAGATTTATGTGTAGTGACTATAGAAAAAACAAAGCTCTAAGTGATTTGTAAACTTCAGTATATTTACTCTGAAAAGTGGCAATGTAAATAAACATCCAAGGGCAAAGGCGCTGGAGTGACATACCTTAGGCTGATTCCAGAACAACTTAGGTGCTTTTTAGTCTTCTCAGAGAAAAGCAGGCTAAACTAATCTCTAAAATAAAGGTTTTAAAGATTGACTCCAAGGAAAGGTCTGCCCTTTTTGTGTGCCTGTTCTTATCTGTGGCTGTTGTTTCAAGATGTTATTTTCATGTTTATTGTTTGAACAGTAGTTCAGGTTAGCTCAGCAACATCCCTCACTAGTGACTAAAAATCTCATCATAATTTATTTTAGAGAATACAATTAAGTGCAGCAAAATGAGAGAATGTGGACAGTTTGTGACTAAACACACTTATTTTAAAGTGTTCTTACACATCATAAAGCTTTTTAGGTCTATTTAGCTTTTACTAGGAAATAAACAGAACTTTCTGCAATATGTGGTAGAATTTTGGTTAAACCTTGGGAAATCTATTTGTATTTTGTGTTTTTGTAGGTATTATATATGGAATATAAAGCACTTGAATGTAGACTGTGTTTTCTCTCTGTGGGGACCCTTACTTGTGTAACAGTCCGAAAAGTGTTTGCTGCATGCACTGTTACCTTGCTATGAATTTATCTTTGTGATAGGTCTTGTGTTTAGTGTTTAGATTTTTGTTTCTGTGAGGTTGTTCCAATAACAATTTAAAATTATGTCCTGCCTCTGTGATTGCATCTCAACGGCTGTGGAGGGAATAAGCAATAAGCAACTGCAGGAGGTTGTAATGTGTGTTACAACACACATTCACTATTGTAAATTGTTGTATTTTGGAAACAAATGGCCTTGTAGAGACGCTGCAGATCAGCAGACAGCCTTGTTTGGCACTTGTCACACTGGTAGCACAGCTTGCTTTAACCACAGACAGATGTTACTGCACGGATGTACTACATCAGCCTATTTGTTCAAAGTGAAGGGGGGGTGAATGGGGCTGAACTGGGGTTTGGTTTACTTTCTATGGGGAATCTTCTACAGGTGGTTGATGGTGACTGATGGTTTTGGTTTAACCCCAGCTGGCAAGTAAATGCTGCACAGCTGTTTGCTCACTCTGGCAGCAGGATGGGGGAGACAATCAGAAGGGTAAAAGTGAGAAAACGTGTGGGTTGAGGTAAAGGCTGTTCAATAGGCAAAGGAAAAGCTGTGCACACAAACAAAGCCAAACAAGGCATCCATGCACCAGTTCCCATGGGCAGGCTGCTGCTCAGCCACCTCCAGGACAGCCAGGGCTGCACCACACGTAGTGGTGACCTGGGGAGACAAACACTGTCACCCCAAACATCTCCCCTTCCCCTTCTTCCCCCAGTTTGCATGCTGAGCATGGCACCACATGGTGTGGGATATGCCTGTGGTCAGCTGGGGCAGCTGTCCTTGGCTGTGTCCCCTCCCAGCTCCTTGTGCAGCCCCATTCTCCTCACTGGTTCACTGGTAGGGCCGTGTGAGGTGCAGAAAAGGCTTTGACTGTGTGTGAGCACTGCTCAACCATGACAAAAACATCCTGGACTCACCAACACTGTGTCCAGCACAAATCTAAAACACAGCACCATACCAGCTGCTATGAAGAAATTCTCTCCAAGCCAAACCCAGTACACTCATTTAGAGAAATGTTGTGCCAGAGAATAAGAAGGTTTGAATGCTGTAAGGGCCCTAAGCAGCTCACTCGATGAGCCATTGGAAAGGGCTTACAGTTGTCCATGTACTCTAAGTTAGACCCACAGGAGAAATACTAACAAGGCATTCTCAAGAGATCAAAAGAACAAAAAGAACTTTATTGGCAACTTGAGAAAATCAAAGAAACTCTGAAAAGGGTTTAATGCAGTATTCAATCGACATAAAACACTTCTTGAAGATTAACTTGGCCATTCAAGTTAGCAAACTCTAAGCCAATTCAGTTTTAAGTTCTCGAAAATTCTAAGAAGAGGGAATTAGAAGAAGAAAGACAGAAGAAGATGTATAACAGCACCAACTCCTGGATTCCAGAAGTATTGAGATAAAATTCCAAGAAGAAGTAGGGTCAAGACATCTGATTGCTTTGTGTTTTGCCTTAAATACCCCTTGGCCTCCCTGGGCCCTTCCCCCAGGTGGGACTTGTGGTCATTTGGCCACTTGGGAGCTGGGTTGGGGCTCCAGAGGTGGGGTGTGGAGCATTGGTCTCCCTGTGCCAGAACTGGAGCCACAGCAGGGCTGGGATAAAGGCTCTAGGGTGGGGCGTGTGGGGCAGGGCACTGCCTGCCCAGGGCAAGGCCTGACCTGCCCCTGTCCCCTCACACATACACTCCAGAGTGCCTCTGGACATCAATCTGTTCAGTCTCTCAGGCATCTCTGGC